GAGAGGCCCGTCGACGAGCGCGGCGTGCCGGTTGCGCTGGACGTGGTGTTTGACGGCGCCGACGAGGTGGACGAGGAGCTGAACCTGATCAAGGGAGGGGGCGGGTGCTTGTTCCAGGAGAAGCTGGTTGCTGTGTCGGGGCGGAAGTTTGTAGCTGTTGCAGGTGAGTTTTATATCTATATATATATACACACATATATATCTTTACAAACACACACATATATATGTACATGGGTTTCAAACATACTAACAACAACAACTTCCAGACTCCCGCAAACAGTCCCCCCGCCTCTGCACCACCTGGAAAACCATCCCCATCGAGGTCCTCCCCCTCGCCGCCCCCGACGTCCTCAGCCGCCTCCGCGCCATGGGCTCCCCCAACCCGGCCGTGCGCTCCGGCCTGCCCAGCAAGGCCGGCGAGTGCGTCACCGACAACGGCATGTGGATCATTGACGCGCCCTTTGCGCCGCTGCTGCTCGCAAAGGATCTGACGCCGGAGGTCGACGGCGCCGGCAAGGACGGCGTCTGGGAGGTCGGCAAGTTGGCCGACGAGCTGGTCAAGATGCCCGGCATTGTCGAGATTGGCCTTTTCACCGGCTTCAACGGCGTGGAGGCTGTCGGTCTGGGCAAGGAGTTTCAGGCGCAGAAGCCGATTGCGGCTTATTTCGGTACGCCGACTGGTCAGGTTGAGGTGCAAAGAGCGACATAGACAAAAGACAAAAAAAAAAAAAAAAAAAAAACTGCAGAACTAAAAAGGGCTATATAATGTTTTAATTAGTTGAGTCAAGTAAGATCAAAAAGATAGATGAGATGGAAGCAGCCAAAAAAAGGCTTTGTAGTCATGAGGGCGATACAATACCTACTATAAAAGACTGCAACTCAAAACGATTCAACACTTTAAACTCAATGCGCATCTCTATTGTCTTTCAACACGTTTGAATTAGAAGCATCTATGGTGCCTTTGCTACGCTTCCTGGCAAAACTAGCTTACTTCAATACGCCCATTAATCCCCTAGCGCCTACGGTACGCCGGCGATAAAAAAGAACTCGAGACAAAGAAGGAATAAAACAAGATAGCAAAGCAGGAGGTGACCGAAAAAGAGTCTCCTCCTATATCCATTCATCACTTCCTCCCAATGCAGAGTAAATGGATCCCAAAATAACCACACATTCAACGCCAGATGAGTTTCCCGTGAGAAATAAACCATCTCCATCCCCTTTCCATATCCCGCGTTGCCTCCCCCGAGCCACACTAGTATTACGCTGTGGCCAATCGGATTCCTCCTTTTCCCTTTCCGCCATTGCCAATAGATATATGTCGTAGAAATAAGTATAACACACACAAAGCAGGAGTGGCTACTCTTCCAGTTTCCTTCTCCTTATATGGCGAGCCCTCAATGGAAGCTTGCCGAACTGGGCCAAATATGAAATAAAGATATATCGTGATGTGGAAGCCTCATGTTGCCAGCCCCAGCATATCTTGGAAGGAAAGCCAGGGAGAGGATGGTGACCCTCCCAACAAGAGGTTCCGATAGACAAAGGGAAATCGAACCCAAAAAAAAAAAAAAGGGTCATCCATAAGGACGATGAAGAAGGCATAAAAAAATAAAAATCGCACACGGGTTCTTTAAATAAATAGCATCGTATCGCCGTGATGTAGACGAGCTCTTGTCTCGTCTCGCCCAACTTTACACTCTGGGGCGAAAGAGTGCTGTAGCTGATATATTGTTTTAGGAGTGAAACAGGTCCCAAGCTCTGGCGCATAGCTGCATGAACTCTTCCTTCTTCGCTCGTTGTGTCTCAGGGCTGTCACGGCCGGCGCCAAAGGGGCCACGTCGAGTAGGAGGAGGGCCATAGCCCAGTGGTGGACTGCTGCCGTCCTCATACTCGGCGCGTGTTCGCCTTCGGCTTGCGCCCTGGGTAGCCTCCGGGTTGCGGTTGCCGGCACCAACGGGTGAAGGAGGTGTTGGGGGTTGATGGCCACCGTAGTGGACAAGTCTGGGCAGAAGCTCTGCTCGTCCACCGGCCAATTCATTTTGAGCCTCCTCTGCAGACTTGTATTCTCTCATGCGGCCAGACATGGGCGCTTGGTGAGCTGGCGGGAGGCCTGGGGACAGCTGAGGCCGTGAAGCTGCGTGACTAGGATAGAGGGCAGAGGTATGTGGCCCATTCTCGGGATGCGTTGAGAGATTCTGGCCAAACACATCGCTAATGGGTGGCAGGCGGTTGGCGGTCTGGTTGGCATGCACGTGGTGGATCTGAGAAAGGTTGGAAGCCTGGTTATGTACGTTTCGTGATGGGGGGACATGATGCCCGGTGAAGCTGCGGCCAAGAGGTGCAGATTGAATCACTCTTTCGTTTGCGAATTGCTGATGTGAAGGTGCAACAATGGAAAGCCCCGGGGGAGCCTTGTTTCTGCGAGACATGCCGGGTGTTTTGGCGGCAAAGTTTGGTTCCTTGTCCTTATCAGATGGCCCGTCTCCCTTGGCGGACTGCTGCTGCTGTAGCCTGGCTTCAATAAGGCTTCGCTGCTGCTCTCGCACGCTCATACTCCGCTGAAGCTGTTCCTTCATTGCGGGATCTTGAGTCATAAATCCAGGAGAAAGGCATGCGATGCCAACCTCTTGGATGCCCAGTCCATCGCGCGCGGTCAGCGGATAGGCTGAGGAAGGGTTTGAGCCGGCAAGTGTGTTCTTTGAGAGATCTAGTCGTCTGGGTCGGGGTCTTGATGCGGGTAGACCGGGCGACACTGGTTCTTTCTTGACGACAATCTTGGGGTGTCCGGCATCATTTCGAGATCTATTACGATAGGTAATTTGTCAGCAAAGTGCGCTCAATTGTAGTAGGTGGGAAAACTGGACAGGGCGGATTATCAAAGACTTACGCGTTGGGAGAAGATTTGTTTGCGGCGGCATGATCAGACTTGGGGCTGCCACGGTTGGGCGACTGGCTCGCAGCTGTTGCGCCCGTGTGCTGACTCCTCGGTTGTGAAGGCACCGCGTTCCTCTGTGCCGGTGGCGATGTAGAGGCTACCGTGGGGGCAGGGCGGTCGCTGGCAAACGAGCTCCTCTCGTGAGGAGCTGGCGAAGGAACCATGGCAACTGCGGTGCTCATGGTGACGATAGGCCTGGGTGTTGAGATTATATGGAAAAAAGATATGCAATGGGCTTTCGTGCTTCCTTGAAACGAAGCTGAGCCGAATCAGTCCACGAACCACGCAGTCGCAGAAGCGTGCAAGTGTCGCTCGAATTATTATTGATCGTCTGGTGGACGAAATCAGGCGCAAAATCGAAAAACGAGTAGTGCTAGATTATCCCGAAACTGACGGGGTCCAATATGCTCTCCTCCACCAAGTAATGCGCCTTGCGGGTGGTGTTTCTCGCTGTTGCCGGTAAAAAGAAGAAGAAAAAATAGAGAGAGATGATTCGATCGCGAGTTTCCCAGCGTCGATGAACAGACTGGAAAAAACGGGAAGTCAAGGCTTGCCCTGCCTGCGTTGCAAGGAAACAAACGCCTTGTAAAGCCGGCGGAAAGAGGGAGAGAAAAAGGCCAGCCGGGGGGGAAGGCCGAGTGCGTGGGATGCGTTTCAGGAGACTGGCGATTCGAGATTGTGGTTTGTCCGAATATATTGCGATCGGGGGACAAAGTATGGAGTACTTCGTATTTGGGCTCCCCGTAAGCCAATGCACGGGCGGCTGGGGCTGAAATGGCTGCTGTGCCGCTGGTATTCAGTACTCGCACAAGCGCCCGTAGGTCCAGAACGTTAGTGCAGCTGCATACGCCCACGCACACCAGGGGTTGCCGAGGGCGGCTCCAGGGCTTTGCTGGCGAATGGGATGGAGGCGTTCCAGCAGACGGCTGGGCTGCAAGTGCTTGTTTGCTGCGCTTTGGCACGGGTCGACAGGATGGATGGACGGCTGGAGGTGATGGTCGGCGAATTAGGCGGCGCTAGAAGCGTCTTTCTGCTGCGAATGCTCTCGTGTGAGCTGGAGAGCGAGGTAAAGAGAGAGAGGTTAGAGCGAGGTTAGAGCGAGGTGAATGAGAAAAGACTGCGAAGAGGGCAGAAAGGGAAGAAGGCGGCAGAGGGTTGGAGGGGCAGGCGCCACTTGTTTTATTTCGTCCGCCGCGCTTCTGGCATGAATCGAGCTCTTTGCAATCCGTCTGAATAGCCTCCCGCCAGGCCTGAATGAAAGGGGCCGGGTTCGTCACGGAGGGAGGGGAAGAGCGCAGTGACACGGATGCCGGAGCAGATTTTCAGAGGGTGCTGGACGCTTCTGAAGCGATGGATGGGAGATGATGGATCGAAAACAGGCATGGGGGGGCGTATAGCAGGTCGCAGCTGAGCGCATGTACCCATCAGCGGTGCTGCTACAGCGCACTCAGGCTCGCTGTCACAGGCTGTTGCAGCGACGCGAGGGGCGTGGCTCCAGCACACCAGAACAATTGAAGCCACCGTTGCTGGCCGCTCTTTTTCCACTCTCCATGCGGTGCATCGGGAACGAGCCAGGGGCGCTCGCACGCCGGCGGCCCTTGCTGGCCTCTCACTGGCTGGGCGGCCGATCCACCGCCCCTCCGCCTCACCTGCGCTGTGCGAGGCAGGCTCTGGGCAAATCCTTGGGCTGTCCACCCACCCACCGGTAGAGTGTTTTACCTTGCTGCTAGCACTTCCTTCAGGCGATTTAGGCTGCGAGCGAGCCCTGTAGGCCTGTAAGTATGTACAGCAGGTACCTTGGCGCGACCTGACCTGCGCGAGAAGAATGACTGAATAATTCGGTGGTGCTGATCATCGCCCCAGCCTGGCATTGACATTTCATTTTCAGTCTTCATTTCGAGAGCGTATTTTTAGAACGCCGCAGACAGCAACGTCAGAGGTAATTAAAGAAGATATGCATAATAAAAGCAATGCGGAAAAGCTCGTTTGCTTTAGTGGCGGTGCCTCTTTTTTTCTTTTTTCTTTTTTCTTTGGTGTCTTTTCTTCTTTATTAACCCGCAATCCATGCCTGCTCTGCAACTACTAGCAATTACTCCGTGACCGCGAAGCCAGCGCCTTTTCATCCAACATCCAGCGCCGTCGCACGGGATCCGCTACACCGCAGCCCGCTGATGCCACTGCCGTTTCGTGAATGCCAGAACAGCGAGCAATTCAGGCTGTGTTTCCACTTTTGACTTGGCAGGCTAGCCCTTGCGGTATAGCCAAGCTGGGACTGGGGAGCCCCGCCCCTCCCCTGATGCGGAGCGCGTATGTTCGACATTTGCGTGGTGAGGTTGTAGCGTTTCAATGGTGAGACGCCTACCGATACCGACGTGCCTCAGACTGAACAAGCCCAGCGCAAGGCCGCGTAAAGGTGAGGGCGAGAAGGGAAGAGGAGGCAAAGAATATTCCGGCCCCAAGGCCGCTAGCATCGTGCTATGTAGCGATCAGCTAATGTTCCTCGCGATCTCGTTGGTGCGAGTACGATATGGGCCCGTTAGCAGATGCTACTTTTGCGTGAGCACAAGAGCACGGTAGCTGTGGCTCGCTCCGCACAAGCGAGGGACGCAGCCGTCAGAGGCTCGGATTGGACAGCTTCGAGAAACTATTGGCATATATCCAATCGTGCCTCGGCAGCTACATACTTGTACATACGTCTTTTGTCACGACAGGGGGCAGGTTAAAGTCGCATCAAGTTGCCTTATGCTTATTAACCGCGGATCGACGACGATGGCTTCATCGCCATCGTAGTGCGACTTCATCTACCTCATACACGCATCAGGCATTGGTGAAGGACGGGTTTTCCTTCAGTGCCCATCGCCCCACGCGCCAATTACAAAGGTGTTATAGTAGTTATAGTAGTAGAGTGCCAGTATTACTACTAGTATAATGAGATCCTCGTCCCTTCCATGTGGCAGTTTAATTATCATGATGCCTCTCCACATGGCTACTCCAGACACAAGACCTAGCTACAACTTCGCTCCCAGTAGCCCATCCTTTCCATCGGTGTTATGCTGCGTGCTAAGGCCTTAGCCAAATTAGTTGAGAAAAACTAGCTCTGTGGCCCTGTCGATCTCGCCGACTTCCCCATTATTGGTTATCCTACTAGTCGTGCTGTGGTTGCCGATTTTAACCCATTTACTGGTGCTGTATGGTTTGCTGGTGCAAAGATTGATGCCTTGAATATTGTTTCTGGCTATTTAGCTACCTTCTTTGGCTATTTACTTACCTATCTTTCCATCAAATAGCAAACCCCATTGGTTACTACCCGACATCTCTTGGTTTGCTTTGCCGCAAACATTGCAGCGTGGGTTATGCGAGCAATCGGATCTAGCTGTATATCATCATGTCAGCAGACCTCTCTCGCATGAGACTCTTGCCCGACCACTAGAGCTGTACCGCTTCGCATCTCACAGACACATGCCATATCTCTTCTCTCCCTTCTCCCTCTGTATCTCTCTCGTCTCTGCTTGATAAGCGCAATAGTCGCAAATCTGTGGCACCATGACTTCAGATGGCTCCTCATTACCAGGCACTCTACTCTACTCAGTTGCTGGCTGGCTTCTCTACAGCCACCCCTCCCTTTAGATCCCTGCACTTTAGTACCTACATGGGGTAGAATTTTCCCAAAGGGTATCATTCTGCTTGTTTGCATGTTCCGGCGCCCTGCTAGCATCGTATGTTGTCTGCAATAGAACAAACAATAATCGCAGCCTAGTACCTCGCACTTATGATGGTGGTACTGTAGCAGTATTGCTAATGGTTACTAATAGTTGCCTACCTGGTAGTAGTTGGGAGGAGTTGACTACCTCATATGGGTTTGCTTGATTGGGATATACGACAAGGGATTCGGAGAACAGCAGCAAAATGTAACCCTTTGTGATTAGGCCTCATATAAACAAAAATTCAATAGTTGGCTCAGTTACGAGGCATGTTAAAGCCGACGTTGACGTTGTTTTAGCTGCGGCAATCAACCAGATCCCAACACAACACAGACAACATTTGAAGTACATGCTGCTTGTAATTGTCCGTTGGGTGGTCTCCCCCTGCACCGAAACCTGCAGCGTTTGAGCATTTGGCGCCACCCGCTGTCGTTGATCGGCTCATGGTACATGTTCCCTGCCAGACCTTGAAACCTCATCGCCATCTGCTCCATCGTGCTGGAACTGACCGCAACTGCCACCTCACCGCTACGGGCCCCCCTTTCGTAGGGCTCTTTGCCACTAATCTTTTCCCCTTCTCTTTTGTAACACGTTTGAGGTTTTCCTGCTCTCTTTGCTCCATCGTCTCCTCTTCTCCAAGGAGAAAGCTCTCTCTCTTTTTCATTGTCAGGGTCCAGCCCCACCGCGGCCAACGATGTCCCGCTTCTCCTGCCCACTGATTTTCGATACTCGAACGAGCTCAAGCCCCAGAGTGGCTCATGCGCGCCATGTGACAGGTACAGATACGTTACGTTTCCCACGGAACCTTGAAGTCACGGATCTTGGTTGCTGTAAATTGTATTTTGTGCCTGTGGCCGCAGCTCTTCTTGTTGGTGCGGTACTTGTGCGGCCCTGGCCGTCGTTGGTGACGGCACTGCATTGGCTCTTGCTTGCATTGGCCAACACAACGCGGTGGGTTTGTCTCCTTCTCCCGCTTCTTCTGCTGATGTTGTTGTTTGCTAGAGAGTTACGAGAACATTCGAAGCTTTGCTCTTTTTCGTCGAGGCGTTTCTGCCGCCTGCAGGCTTAGCAAACGCACTTGCGCATGCTTCGTATGTGCATGTATAATGACTCTTAAACTTGTCGCAGCCCTATTCGCGGACCCTAACAGGATGCCCGTCCCATCCATGTCAGCCAGTGCTCACATCAGACGAGTTTTCGGGAGTGGATCGAAAAGGCCATCAAGTCTTGCAACTTGTGTAGCAGCTTCATTTTATTATCACAAAGTAAGCGCATTAAACCTGTAATTATTGCCAACTCCAAACACCACTTGTAAATACATTGCCTGGCATTTTGTCGGTTTTGAGTGTTTTGTACTAACTACATGTACTTACAGCATTGAGCATTCCGTGTTTCTTTGGATCTTCTGTCAATCGCACCTCGTGACATTGAACACGCCAAAGAAAAAAAAAAAAAAAAAAAAAGGGCAGCAAGACCGCCCGTCTCCGCTACTAATCGCTGCTTCACCTGAGACGACGACGTCTCAGGTCGGGTGGGACGCTTTGGCAAGGCTGCAGGGGTCGGCCCCTTGTCAATCATTCGCTCAGCATCGCGCTTAGTTTAGCTTCGTTTCAACCCAGCGCTGCGACGAAAGAGCACCGCCATTGGGCGGCCCGGACCTTTGCGAATCGGAATAAGGACAACGTTTATCAGTCTCTTGGTTGTTGTTTCATTTGCGGCCTGCCTGGGTAATCGAAGAGGCGAAAAAGAGAAATTTTCCGTAGGCATCACTGGACCTCTTGCGGCACTTGCTTCACGCATCAGACCCCTGTAACTCATGTACTTTTTTTTTTTTCTTTCCTTGGGGCATCCGTGCACGACGATGATCCAATAGTTGTTCACCGGTGTTACACGAGATTGCTTGTGACATTGACCTACCATGTACTACTACCAACCGCTGCGAGTTGATCAACTGTGGCCATGGGTTTCCTCCACCCCGGCTGCCATAGAGCCTCTTTGCATGTGCTTTGAGCAAATAGGATGTGATGCAATCTTGGGTGGGGGTACATTCACTACCCCCCGCTGCTCGTCTGAATCTTTGGCTGTCTCCATTCACTTTTGGCGCCGTGACACAAGATACGAGCCTATCTTGTCTCTGTAGTGCTTTGCCTTACCACCACCGTCCGTATTTTAATTCCAGGGTAGCCCAACTTATGCGGTGCGACGTCGAGCACACCACCCACCGAGTAAGAGAGCAATTCCCTCCATCTCAGCTGTCTTAAAGTTTCTTTACGTTTGCTTGTAGTAAATAGAATGTGATGCGATCTCTTGTGTGGGCTACTGAGAATTTTGTGAGCTTCGGGTTGCGCGAGGTTGCGTGAGGAGAGCGACGCTCTTGTTGAGTTCCGTCTACAAAATGTTCGAACGTGATTAGCTATCAGCCTGGAGTTTACTTAGGTATCGCTGTGCGAGTCAAAAGTTCGAGGCAGTGATACATAAGTTGGATAATGGATGGTGATAGGTATTCTTGGGAGAGAAGTCCATTTACCAATAAATATACCTGTTCTAGGTGTCATCATGCTGCATTGGTGTGAGAATGGTCTTATTGGGTAACAGTGGTCTATAGATATGACCACAAGTTGTTTAGCTTTTGTCTGCCTAATATTACCCAACGAGATAAGCACCATTGGCTCTGCCGTAATCATCTTGCTTTTTGGACTACACTCTGTCATTGAATTACAACGTAGTTCCCAAAACCTGAGTTTGGAGGGGCAAACTTACGCCGCCGAGGTGGTTGTTGGCTGCAATTATGGAATTCTGCACCACTCCATTTCCTGGTTACGATTTATCCCTTGGAGACCGCACCTATGAGAGCTGTTACAAAGAATTTTTTCTTCCTCCCCCGCTGTCGGCCTCTTAGAAGTATAAGAGACTCATCGGAGATACACCATGAGATTACCGATATATTAGAGACTGCAGAATTTGGGTTTGACCAAATTTCGGAAATCGCCGTTTTATTACATAGCTAGGGTAAATATACTATTAAACTCAAGCCATTATTAAGCAGCAGAAGCATTAGAAGCCTACCTTAGCACTTAGATGTTAAATAGTTTATCATTTTGATAAGCCTAAGTTTTGTTTTCATACCATGACAATTCGTGGACAAGTTGAGTCAGAAAATTGCCCCCGGCAGCAATCCGACCAAGGCTCTCAGGATTCGCACCAGTTCGACAAAGGTCAAGGAACATTCTCTCTCAGTAGTAAAATGAATCGTTCTGATGAACAGGGAGAATATAGTTCTCCTCAGCGAACCAGAGGCAGAGGAAGCCGGGACCAAAGTCATGCGTAGCGTTGTGCCCGACGTATTGAATTGTCCGATATCCTGATGCTTAAGCGTCAGCCCAGTGAAATCGAGTGGCTACTGGGACTGTTCTTAGATGTTAGTATAACACAAGAGATCTGCACCTGAGCAGGCTTCAGGGGAAACAAGCTCATGGCATAGACTGCGGCTTTGTTAACTAATAGCTGAGCTGATAAATGACTAAAGTAATGAGGTGCTATCTATAAACCAGAAAAACACTTTTCGTTTGATAGAAAATCACAACGCGTTGCTTGTTACAAAATGATGACCATGCTGCAACAGAAATCTTGATCTAATTTGTTCTAGGGTGGACACAGGCCATTCGGAATTCACATAAAGTACCGCCATTCTGAGGTGTTCGCCCGGTCCAAGGCGGTCCTCGACGAGCTCTTGCAAGCCCTGACCATCAGACAGTATTGCACCAAAGGTTTGTAGAGCGTTTGGGTGAATCTTGTTCTCCCATATGCATTGCCCACGAAGCCCTATCCACTTGATCTTGACAAGGCCCTCCAATAAAGCCTCCTCATCCGCCATGAAAAGAAGTGTCCAATCATTCCTACCTGCCCTTCCCAAGGGATCTTCTGATAGCTCGTCAGTTGGGGGGGGGGCGGCGGTCTGCTTGTGCCTCCAGTTCCAATCCTCAGCGTCTTCAATTACACTCATTGGTTGTGTGTCCACTAGAAGTGGGATGCGCTGCAGTACTTGAGACAAACTAGATCCATCGTACAGTGTCCGATCATTCAGCTCTCCGTATTCTGCAATTGCGTCCCGGTCGATGAGCATTTCGTATGCCTCGTTTAGATCCTCTCTATAACATGTCCGGACAAAAACTGGTTTCCACTGGATGTTATGGGCATTGGCACAGATTATTCGCTGTTGAGTCGTCTGAAACGGTGTTAAACACTGTGAGATCTCCTCTGACGAAGGCGACACACTGCTAGTAGGGTTTTCTAAGTTGTTATAGGCCGTAGCATGATATGGCAAGGGGTGATGTCACATAGATGTTAGCTCACATCGCTGCAGCCGGTTAGGGATCAGTTTGGAGACACACAAATCGCTCTGGGGGAATCAGTCTCCAGTATCTATGCACTAGGCTCTCCCATTGCTGACCATCTTGATCATGGGACAGTTCATGTTCCCAATGTTTCTGTAAGAATCAGTCAGACGGAACAATCGGGTGGTATCGTGCGACATACAAGGACAAACACATCAAACGGGAGAGATCCGTATTGAGCTTCGGGGGGAAGCTGAGCATCCATGGATCAGACGACTTGAGGGGAAAGTATGTGCGCGTTGTTGATTGTAGCTGGTTCTCACATGCCAAGGCCAGGATCTTTAAGTTGCTATATGTATAGATTTTGAAGCGAAATAAAGTTGTTTTGAACTTCAACGGCTGCATAAAGAGCTAGCATGGTTAATTACAAGCACCTTGGCCTGTGATAACGCCAGAGCCGATACATGGCGCATTCTTGGCGCTTGCTGTGCTATATAACGAATACCTATATGTACTAAGGTACTAGTAAAGGAGATGGAGTATAGGGCCATTAATCATAGAGCGTGTACTGCATCTATGGAGATTGTCAATTCCAAAATTCTGCCAACTCTTACGATGTCACTACACTTGACAGACATTTGTGAACAATATTCAAGAGGCGCATTATAGTGAATATAGCAATACCAAGACCGTTTGAGAAAGAAGCTACTGTGACCATCAGTTACAGCACTCTATGACGCATGAATATACTTTTTGTGAATGGCTCTCCCAATATACGCAGACGCTTCCATTATTAACACAAATACCGTTAATAATTTCCTTTAGTCTAAATGATTTCTTATACATTCGCATACAAGTCACGATAGCCAAAAAAATTAATCTGCCCCCACACAGAATTGAACTATGGACCTTCGCATTACGAGTGCGACGCTCTACCGCTGAGCCATAGGGGCAATCTATTTCGTTGGCGGCTGGTTCAAATTTTCACATTATATTGCAGGCACTTGCATCTCTGTTTTTGAGGTGAACATGAAACGTCTGGAAGAGTGTGATAACTTACATGTACGTACATGTATTATGTCGCTGGGACAAATCGCATGAAGCACCAATTCCTGGAACAGAAGTTGCTGCTATAGTCGGTAACAGTTTTTATGTTACGCTACAGGGAAGAAGGTTGCTTATCTATTATCATTTTACGGTTTGGTGTTTTGTTCGAGTCTGGTCACTATACAACTACTCCGTAGAGCTGACATTTAAAAACAGCCAGGGAGGGTCACTAAGCATGTGGGCCGATAAAGAGACAAAATAAGAAACTTCCAGTGTAAGCACTTGAGATGCGGCCGCCGCCGTGTAAATGCACGAGAGCTCTAAACCCGTCTGATTCAGCCTGATGGTCAGCATCGGGGGAAGAAAGCCAGGTATGAAGGATACATGCCTACTGTATTTAGGCCTCACCAGTACGAATTTGAGAGGGGAAGAATGCGTTGAACAGGAGTTTACTAGCTGGAGAAAAGCTACTATTTCCATTGATGAAATGAGCCCGACTATCAATCTCAGAACACAGCCAATTTGTGGGATAGAATGGGGGCATCTTGTTTTGGAACATCGCAGACTTCCTCTTGCAGGTTGTGAAATCTTTACTGTATTGGGTATAGTCTACTGATAAACTGAGAATACCTGGGCTTAGAATAAGAAGGCCCCACATTGCCTTTGTTAGCGGTATCGTATGGGGTTTTGTCAGGGTGCTGCTGTTTTAAAAGAGACTACTGATCTCATCCATGAACAAAGAGGTCAAACAAAGTGAGGATTTCTATGTAGTTATTGCTAGAAAAGCATCATCCTGATCCCAGCAGCTCTTCTGTATCCGTTAATCATAGCAACTATTATTCCTTGTTTTCGTATGTAGAGAACCTGTCACCTAGAGCGCCACATACCCCCCACGGTCGGGTTACAATGATATGTAATCAGTTCTCTTTTGTGTTTCGTTTCGTTGCTGATCAGCAAACTTGCTCTACTGCTAATAATGGTAGCCACTTCTCCATTGGGTCACTTTGATATGCTTTCTCCCTACACAAGACATGGTTAGGAGTATGCATATCGTTGTATTTCGGGTTTATGTTGACGTGGAATAGATTCGGAGAAACGTCGAGGAGTTCTGGGTTTCGGCAAAGCTGATCCATTAACACAAGAATCAAAATCGATTGCTACAACTATATAGGGACGAGGTGCCGGTAGACTTCTCCTGTGTGAACTCTTCGTAACGTAACGAAGAGAACCGGTTTAGGATGAACAAAAGGCTTAAATTCTAAGTATTCAAAATCTGCAAATGGGAAGCTATATAATATAGGAATAAGGTCTTGCTCCTAGGGTGTCATGTGATTCCCAATAAAAATCTACAAACCCGTTGTGACCTCTTCAGGTTTATGATCTTTCTTCAAAGCTTTCAAAGCTTACAGGAATATGGCACAAATACTACCCAAGGTTAATATTTTCCGCTGTGACGCCGCGAGAGAAGTTTGGAAAGCTTTGGAGGGAAATTACATGTAAGGCAAAAGATAATCATCTAGAGTCGCTTGGTCCGGACGGTGAACAAGATAGATGGACCGGTTTGTGCTACCGTTGCTTTCCATGATTGTGAGACTGAGGTTTACAGCTTTTCGATTTTTATTCAATAACAATGACTTTGCCGAGGCAGCCTCCTTGAAGCCTAGTACTTTCTCTGATATATCACTGAAGAAGGAAACAGATAATAGTAGTATTCGAAAGAGACCACTCCCAATTCTGCTATATAACCATTTCAAACAAACAACGCCTTCTTTTTTGGACCGCGTAATCAGGGCAGGTCGCAAGGCAAAGGGTAGTATTGCAAACGCCTGTGGTATGCTTTTTGGTTTCCACTATTCTCGCCTCGGTTAGCTCAACGAGTCTGCAAGGGATACCGCCCTCGATGCCGACCTAAACCTCATCGTTGGAAGCATCAGAAAGGCACGAAATAGTAGGAAACCGCTAGGACCTCATCATTTTTTTTTTTGAACAAATTGAACAAGCTTAGAAAGAATAGGAAGGGCCGTAGCAACCTACGTGTTCAGCTAGAGCTATCCAATTCCTAAATTCATCTGTTTAACCAACTTCGTTTACAGCCATTTACTATTCATTTTTTCCTTCCCCTCGTCTTAATCCTCTTGTTTCTTTAAAACGTAAAACAAGGAAATCCCCCTGACCGGAGGCTTTGCAACGCGCTGACTACCTTTATCTGCGCTTTTTTTTTTCTTTTCCCTTTTTTTTTATTAATATGCTCCTGAAAATCTTGCTTTGCGCCGCTGATCATGTCCCAAACATCGCAATAGGTTTCAATCTCGTGGATCCCATTCGCAATATAGTATGTCAGCTCATCAGCACTAGTGCGCAGATCAGGAAATATGTCGAAATCATACGTTGGAGATTTCTGTGGCCTTGTCAGGAAACTAAGTCCTGTGTTTGTGAATTGCAATAAGACTTCGACAAAAAAGCACGTCGCTTAGTGACAATAGTACAATGCAAAAAAACCTCAACTTTCTATTCGCAACGTTGCTCAAAGAATCGTTAGAAAATGGTCTCTATAAAGGAAATACGGCCGGCATATCTACCAGATGATGATGAAGTGTTTATTATAGCCTGACTGTGGATAATGGACCGATTTCAATCCATACGACTGCTGGAGTATGATGAGCTACTAATGACCACTTTTATTCGTCACAGAAGACTATTTCATGAAATAGTTCTAACAAATTCAAGCGGTGTACTCCATCAAGTTTCTTGGCATGACTGAAGCCAAGAGGCCCAACACGGAAGGTCAGCAATAGAGCCCAATTTGCCAAGAATTAGACATAATGCTCTTGTCAAGATATTCGAGAATTCCTCAGCTCGGGGATGATATTTCAACATAAATAGGGTCTTTGAGCCGACCGTTAATTGAATAGAACCAGTGAATTACAATTCGCATTGTTTTCGAGACCATTCATCTCACTGTATTTACACGTCTGCCCTCCCGGTAAGCTTCCCAGCCATTATATTCTATTTGTGAAGGAAAGCTTTACTGATCGGCTTGCTATCCCTTGTATCAGCCATCATGTTTGTTAAATCCTCGTCCGCTCTATGGCTGCTGTTGAGTGCCTCGAGGTTGGCTTCCGCCTCGTTAACAGCTCAAATTGGGTACTTTGCCGGCCTTGTTCCTGGGCTTCCAGGGCCTGATCCGGGTGTTGGGTGTGGGCTTTTTGCGCAAGTGACGGACGGTTCAGATACAGAACCGGCTACCTTTGTTACTTCTGGCGGCGAGCCCACAGACGGCTGCCCAGCAGCTGAACAAGCTCTTTTCTGCGGGAGATGGGGCTGTCCATTTGACATGACATTCGATGGAGTTGTGGCAGTCACTGTTAACTCGGACAACTCGGGTGACAAGTCGATCTCCGTCACAGCGACCGGTCTCAATGGCCCGACTACCACGGTATCGTGCCCCTGGACTGAAGAGACATTGAGTAGCTCCGACTCTGGATCCCTCTATTCGACATGGTCGTGTGACCTTAGCGCGCTTCAACAGTAAGACATTATGGAGCGAAATTGGTAGAGTTTCCTACAATTAGGCTCTCCTACGGCTCATAATTTGGATGCGTCAACACATAGAACGGTCAAGAATCACTCAAGGGTGGCGGGCTATGGGAAGCCACATTAGGGTATTCGATTGTACAGGACGTTTAGGTATCATTCATGGACTCGAGTGTTGTAACCACTGAGTATCGCCTAGATAGGCCATGAAATCGCTCTCAACAGCTTTTCCCGATCTACTTTTCGTATAAAATCAATCTTCACATCTATTTTGCTTGGCCTTAGTCTGTTCCGTATGAAAAGAACTCTTTCCACTTGAGCATAATCTGCGGACTCTGAATTGTAAGCCCATTAAGCTCACAAGTCAAGATTTATTGCTTGAGAACTCTAAAGACATATTTACATAACGTTTAAACCATTGTTGCGACATATGTGCCCAATTGATAGATATAAACAGCATGGCTGTTATGACTGAAGTTGCTACTTCAATTGTGCTAGATATACGTAGTCTGTTCAGCACATGCACTATAAGAAGGAATAGAAAAAATTAAGGGCCGTTACCTCAGCCATAGCCATCGGCACGCCGATGAGAGCGAACTTCAAAGCTATTTTGTTCAGTAGAAGACACACAATTCTCGATACATTGTTCTTGGCTAGACCTAAGATAAAGCGAAGCACTTTGATTGCATTAAAAGGTTAGTACTGGATGCGAATGGGTTGTACACTATCCCAGCATTTAAGAGTGGCTGGAAGCGCCAACTCATCATTAAGATGGATTTCACGGGGCGTTAGAAGAGAGAGAATTACGTTGGCAAGCTGCATTGCTGAAGAGTCGTAACTAGTTGCTGACTTGACCTAGAAGATTCTTAATTACTTTAAGGATGAAATATCTTGTTTAAGCTGCGGGACATTAAATTTATGTTCTTGGCCACATTAAAAACAAGTCTTGAAGTTCTGATACCAGAACTATCTGCGCCGTTTTTTATATTAGCCCCATTTGCATCGCTTCCGACAGCATTGCCATCTGCGTTGTTTCCAACATCATGACTGTCTGCATCGCTTCCAATATCATGATCATCTGCATCACTTCCGACATCATGACCATCTGCATCGCTTCTAACAGCGTCACCATCTGAGTCGTTCCCAACATCCTCATCGTCTGTATCGCTTTCGACATCATCACCATCTGCGTCGTTTACCAAGGCAGATTCCATCTCACTGCCACTTTCACCTTTTGCGCTCTCCAACAAAGCACCCCTTGTAAACTCTTCAATCGTGACATCCCGCCCATACCTAAACCTAAGTCGTTTGACGCGAAACGCAAAAATGAATTCAGAATGCACCTTATATTCCGCATCATCATTGTAACTTTTGGCGTAGGAGTACTTGAGGCCATAATTCAACTCAGGTACGAGCAAGCCGGTCGACGTACGAATGCGTGTCCTGATTACTGTATTAACTGAGATCGAATACTTGACATGCGCACCCTTGGCGAGCTTCATGCCAGTGACGAGGTAGAGTGAGACAACAGGAGCAAGCCTCTGCTTGGGCTTCTTCAGCCACGCCTTGACAGCCGGTGCTTTCACTGCTTCAGCAACATACTGGGGTGTGGGCTCAAACGAAACAGTAGTCACCGTGCTAGATTCGAGAAAAATCTTCGCTCGGCGAGAGTGTTTAATATGCTCCCCTGGCCCTTTTTTAACAAACTGCAGAAACTTCTCATGACCTCTCGATCTAGGTTTTTTGTCTTCAGTCATTGTCTTTGCCCAATTCGTTTCTACCACAGGGGGGTTTAGATTGGCCACAGGGACAATCTCGGATTTGTTGAGGGACAATCTCGGCTCTGAAATTGAGCAAATTATAGAGCCGAGACATAGCGGACCTTTGGGAGGTGGAGAAATATTTTCTGATAGCGGGCATATAAAATAAGTCTTCTTCTTGATACTGGTATTTAAAGACATGATTGTCAGATTTCTTGTGCGGATTTTAGGTTTTAATTAGCTTGTCAGAATTGCGATGAAATTGAATATGGATTAATGAACGGTGCGCACAATGGGAACCTGATCGAAGTGCAGAGCAGTGAGATGTCGACTGGGGGGGAGGTTGTGAGCGGGGGTTATGGGCGGGGGGACACTAAGATTCAGATAACACAGGCTTACTTACTTCAATTTAAGGATACCTGGACCTCCTTTCATGAAAAGAAAAGCGTGTTATATATATCCAACCTAGGAATCGGAATTGGTGTACTTTGGATCTTCTCCGAGCCTGCTCTGGCGTTCTATTTATGTCAGTCTATTTCTGTACGCGGCCCAATTAGTGGATGGAACGGCCCGCTTGAGCTAATGAGCCTAGTCGCGCGGCTAGTACCTTGGAATGTGTGACACTACTGGACAGTCCATAGGAGACGCCCGCTTGACGCTGTCTACATGTAACAATATTCAATTGAAGTAATAATAGATTTCGGTATTATTACAATTACCTGAAATTCTGATAAAAGTAATAATAACTGATCACCTGTAATAATAAAATTCGTTTTGGAAAAAAGCAACAAGTTAAAAGTTCATAAAAGTACATGTATCTCGGGCCGTCTAGTCATACATATGCTCTCTAATATCTTTAATCTTGTTGTAAACTTCCCCCCTTGATGAATGTAAACCAAGTAGTGTATGAGGCGTAATATAGTCATAGCCTGCTCCTCTCCTCTGTCTGACCATGCTCTTTAGAACCGCATCCATTGAATGAGGGTCTTTCAACCACGGCCCCAACAAATTAGTTCCTGGAGGCAAGCCTAGTTCTTGCTGCCGGACAAAGGATAGGACCGAAGCAGCAAGCGCCGCGGCAATTGGAGTTGCGACTGAAGTTCCTGAAAGGACATTGTCGACTTGGTTGTGGCAACCCTTCCCCACTGGCCAGTGCGAAGAGACATGCTCCCCAAGCAAACTAAAGTTGACATCAGTTTCGACTGCTGTAGGGTTGAATCCAGAAGGGTTTCCATTTCCATCAGTCGAGTGCATACAAAAGACGCCAGGATATTTTGCCGGGAAGCATCGGCCGAAATTTGCTCCGTCGTTTGATGCTGCAGCGAACATTAATGTTTGGTTATGTATTGCGTTTGATACCGCGGCTCTCATGGGCTCATGATATTCACGAATTCCAAATGACATTGATATAATGTCTACTTTCCACTCAGTGACTGCACAATTGATCGCCTGTTCAAGCCATTAGCAGATGCATAAAATTTGCTTTCGTATATCAGAAGCCTTACTTTTACGATAGCATCGTAGCTGTCGCGTTCCACATTCTCCTTATTTGCAACTTTGGCAATATAAATTTCAGCGCACGTGGCAACTTTGAGGAGGAGACCAAGAGCATGAGTGCCGTGCCCGACAACATCTTGAATGTCCCGGGGATTTGATCCCTGCGCAAAGTTCTGTGCTGCCTTGATCCGTGCATCGAGCTGGTTATCTTGACCCCTTATGAATGGATGACTAGCATCAAATCCAGTATCTATAATTGCTATTCTAACTGGTTTGAATGCGTTGGACTTATTTCTGATGGATTTCGCAGACAGCTGCATAGCAGCATCAAAGGAATCAACATGGCGAGAAATCGAAGATATAAGTCTGTCTATCCATTTTGCCGACAGTTCGCTGCTGATAGACGTTTAGTAAATAAGGGCCTGATAAGAACTAGAGAATGGCTTACTCTTGTTTAGAGGCAGTAAGACTATTTGCATCAAAAAATTGCAGGCCTTTCTTACTAGAATATTCCGCACAGTGTGAGTGGTTTTGGAGGCTCTGAGTGTATTGGGCCGGCGTTTGTATAGACATGGCTGGATCACGCAAAATATAGCTTGGAGGTGTCATATTGGAGGCTGGAGGCAAATAAACTGTCAACTTGTCGTTGTTTCTGGCAGAGGATTCAGACTTCATCTTGTTGATTTGCTGACAGACAACATCTCGGCCCACTGGGCCCCAGCAGAGTTCATTCTGCCGAGAATCGAGAGAGCTCAAATCCTCTAGCCGCAGACGCCACGATTTAAATATCTCCGATTCAAGTCGCTTAATAACATTCTGATAGAAGAGCCTTTGAACACTATCAGATTCAAAGTTCATGAGCTCTCCAGCAGGAAAAGATTCCCACTCTAGACATGCTTTGGCAGCGAGATAGTAGTCTGCACTGGCGTCGACTTCTAAGTCTTTAAGAAGCTTGAGACTGGTGTAATAGTCAGTGTTGACATTTCGGGCTGTATCCGAGTCATTCTGCCATGACTCTATGGATGTGCAGTAGTGGAGCTCACACAAGAGAATCCCGAGTGCCAACACACTGGCATTGGGATGTATCATGTGTTCGGAGCTGGCCGTTTTAGGTTGGCTATATCTAGTACTCGTCTTGTCACCTGGACAAATTGGAACCTGTTCCATGGTCAGGAAAGGTTTCGTGATATCTGGTAGCTCCCCGTCCTGTAGCTTCTGGAAATATTGAATCATTGAGTGATTAAACGAAGGCTGAATCCAAGGTGTCTCTAAGAATGGCAGTAGCGCTGTGGCAAGCACAAGCGCTAAGATTCGTCTTCCTTTGAGTGGTAAAACAGATGAACCACCGCTTAACTCTTGTTGGCGCTTGAAAAGAGCAGACAGAGACACTAGTTGAGGCGGTTGAGAATCGCCATAAGTCTTTGGCTGCGGGCAGAGCTTCTTGAATAACCCGTCTTCAAGGAGAAGATGCATGCAGTTTTGTTGATCCAGCGACTCTGTGATACACTGGCAGATGTGTGCGGACTCTGGAAAAACATCAGGTGCAAGTTCAGATGTACCTAGAACCTTATCATTTTGTACGTTCCTAACCCCGAGTATGTTAATAAAGGTAGTAAAGGCAGCAAAAACAGGACCTCAACGACTTACTTGATTGTTATCTTAGATTCTTGGAATTTAACTTCAGATTGAGATTGCATTCCAAAGAGCACCTCGAAGGTCGTCTCCATCTGAGAATCCATCTTCAGTCGGGGCAATGAGAGTCTCACGCTCAAGCCCGAGCACTTCTGACACACGCAGGTCCAATGTGCCTGCAATGCCTGGTGTAGCGACACCAAGTGTTTCCTCGTCAAACTAGCAAGGTCCACTTTGGGCTCGCCCAGGTCATTGCTCATGTTTAACACATCATGAGACAAAACTCGGCGTTTCTTTGCCTCCATTTCCAAGGGTGAAAGGTGCTCAATGGTAGAGTCATTTCCCCTCTTGCGTTTGCTGATACAAGTAGGCGAAATTGAATCGGCAAATAGATCATTATTTAAATGCTGGATCAAGTGACGAAACGCTTCAAACTTTGGATTTGGCATAGCATGGTGTAATCTCTGTTCCACAGCTTGTGTTAGTCAAAATAAAGTAGGACGCGAACTGTTATACAGTAAAGCTACTGACCGTGTATTGCTCCTGACTTGATTCGCTTTGAACAAGATTTTCCAACATCTTTAACACCCTTGTCGCTTGCTCATGGTCCATTTCGTCAAATTCGTCCGTTTCATACTGCAAAGTCCGCATCCAGGTGTTGAGAAACTTCGATCTCAACAAAGCGGGTCGCTCTGATGGGCCGCGGGCGGGAACTCTAGTCATACTCTCTAATAGACCCCGAGAATCATTGAAATCCATGGCTGTACAATTAAATACACGCAATCAGATAATTTATAGCGATTCAACTCAGTTTTGTTACATGAGGCTGGGAGGCGGACGTCTTTCAGTTTAAGTAGTCATTCGGGGGGGGACCTTGGTATATCTAACAGTACAGTAGAAGGAACTGCAAGCCGCCGTAAAACACCAATAAGCTGTTGCGGCCTCTTTGTAGATGCCGCTTTCCAGCGGTTATTTTATTTTAGAACGGCGGCTATGCTCTCTTCTACTGATTGGTGTGGCTTATATTGAAGGCGCGCGGCTGGCGGCTTGCGGAGCTCAAGCATAGCCTCCGGTCTCTTCTCCGCGGACCACGACCCCTGGACTTTAAGATTAGCGCGCCTAAGTGCCGTAACATCGCGTGAACTCAAGTGACAATTGTATCCTACAGTGGGGTGTTAAAAGTCTCTTGTGGGCTTATAGTGTACACCAAAATCCACCTAAACTTATACTTTTTAAACATAAATAAAAATAAACTTACTTATTAAAATAAGCTAAAACTTTAATATTATATATATAATTATTTAATAAATATTATATACAAGCTTTTTTAAATAAAAATAAAATATTTATTAAAATATACTTAAATATATATATAATAAAAAAAATTTATATATAAAAGTTATAAACTTTAATAATTTTATAATAATAATATAAAATTAAAGAAAAAAACTAATATTAATATTTTTTAAAGTAATATCTTTTTAATAATATAATTTATATATATATATATAACTTATATTAGGCTAGTTATTAATATTTTAAGATTCTTGTTGTATTTCAGGGTAGGCTAAGCGCTAACCCCACAAGAGACTTTTAATACAGCGCTGTAGATACAGGTATACATATCATAGGTATTGCTTAAAAATAGCAGATTCTACGTGTATGCACTTTTACAGCCTTTATTGCTTCTACTACCTTCATTCCTAGGAGCCCTAGGGGTTTTATCTGTGAGAGATATGGCAAGAGGGAGGCGATAGTAAGAGGACCAAAAGAGAGCCTGTCATAGGTTTAAGCTGCTGGTGACGCTTTTTGCTCGAAAATATCCTCAGCAGAGCTCTTGCTAGAGTATACTTCTTGCCTTGATCGATCTCTTGCCAGAAATGCACCCGCCTCTAGGTTCTTATTGCTCTTATTACTTCATCGCTTTTTGACTGCATTTATCACTTCTTTTTATCTAATAATAACTGTATATATCATAAACCGTCATACTTGTAGCCACTGGTATATTTATGGACTTTAATCTCAACTATGCCCCGTTTTATCCTGCAATTGGAAGATAACCTCGTATATATGCACGTGTACCTATATGCAGTGACCTCGAGCGCATATAACCTCAACGAAGCGGACAACCTTAACACATCCGGAAGTTTGGTAGTGAAAAACACTAGAATAGTCCTCAATAGAGTCTGAATGCCATTGAGATCCCTGGTTGTATATCTAGTATCCACGCAACTGAAAGGTCAGAGACTCAGCTCAGCGCCGTCACAGGAGGCTGAGAGACTGAGAGGCAGAAATTATATATATATATTTCATTCCAGAGGCGAACATGAGTGCATACACGTTCAAAGAAAGCACACACTACATGTTTAGCAACATCGGATAACTATCTTCGTGGATGCGCTTCCCTCTTGCGACAACCATGTACCTTATTAGCAGAGCAGCTTTGACCTCGAGATGCAGTCTGCACGGGGCATACAGAGCCCAATGGGTTTGAGCTTAGACTCAAACATAAATTTGCATTGAAGCATTCCTTTCAACGTCTGTCTCTCTTGTCCTCTACTCTTCCTTCTGCACACTTGGCCTTTGGAAGTCCTTGACTTCGCCTTTATCCATTATCTACCTCAGCCTTAAGAGTCAGCGCACCTACGATACCAAAGTGCACGTATCTACGTATAAAGACAATGTCAGGATCGTCAATTAAGAAACGACACCTGCAAGGCGTCAATACAGACAACATGGAGACGCCCACAGTTCGACTCACGAGTAAAGCTCGAACTGTGACATGGCATGAAGTCTCCGAATGGCAACAGGATAATAAATACATTTTCAGCGGCTATCGCCCAGAAAAAGCAGATTATATGGAGATCCTCACCAGCCTGACGTTTTTGCACAACGAGACTTGTAATGTGTACACCCATCTGATCGGGGCTCTACTCTTACCGCTCATCGCGATCACTGTCATGCAAATACTCTCCGAGCCTCAATTCCTCGACGTTTCGAGATCAGACTATATCGTGTTTGGAATCTTCTTTTGTTGTGCAGAGTGTTGTTTGATCTTTAGTGCTACATACCACCTAGTGGGATCTCACTCACATGCAGTAGAACAATTCTGGCTTAGAATGGATCTGCTGGGGATTATCATCGTCACTGTTGGCACATTTATTCCTGGCATCTATTATGTCTTCGTCTGTGAACCGAATTTGCAAAAACTGCACTGGGCTATTGTCAGTCAATCTGGATGACCTCTCCCCTTTCTCTTCACCCCGCTCGCGGTCGAGTCCAGGTCCTGTGATATGGCTGACGTGAATTTCCAGATCACAATTTCGGGCTCCGCCACCGCTTCGCTGACCTCGTTACCCAAGTTCAGAACGCTGCGCTGGCGGAAGGTGAGGATGGGTGCCTACGTTGCGCTCGGTGCATCAGCCTTCATTCCCCTCTTGCATGGAGTTCAACTGTACGGACTGGAGTATATGCTTCAGTATTCAGGAATGAAATGGTATCTGCTGGAGCTCGTCTTCTATGGCGGCGGAGTTGGGTTTTATGGGGTAAGCTTGCGTGCTCGCTACATGTACCCTCCTCCATCAGCTTGAAAGGCAACCAATCTGACCGGCAGCTGCAGCTAAGAATTCCAGAGCGCTTCGCTCCGGGCAAATTCGATATATGGGGCGGCTCGCACCAGATCTTCCACGTCTGCATCTTGTGCGCCATGTATATACACACAACCGCCCTTATACAATCTTTTACAGCGTGTCATACATTGGACGTATGTAGCATCCAGACTGCTCATCGGGATGGCCACAGTAACAAATAGGCTTGGTTTTGATGTTATGATGTTGTAGGGTCTTTACAGTTTTATACTCATACCATAGTTTACAATGGTACCATTGGTGTTTGACCCGCAGACGAAGCTAGATTCGAACAGCTAGGTATATAAGAATAATAAAAGTGGCATGTTGTTCTTATAAGACACACTGTGGTAATCGCTTGGCAAGACAACCTCTCCAAGTGCTTTAGTTCCTCTGGGTATGGGTAATGCAGTGGCCTTTGTGATAGCAGCCGACGACCAACCAGAGCTGTAACAGGCAGCTTGATATATCTTTCGCAAAAGTTGACAAGCACCGTAATAACGCCACGTGTACTGCCGTATCTAGATAAGAGAAAATGATATACCAGCCAGCGAGGACTTGTGAGTAAACTTGAAATTAGTGAGATACCATTGCTCAATCACTGTTTGTAGTTGCACGTGATATCAGAGGCCCAGAAAAGTCTACATGGAATCTTATTTCCTTATCATATAAAAATATCACCCGAGTATACGAGCCGGAAGGAAGTCAATGATACTACCGCCGTCCTGGTGGCGGCTCAAAGTACTGAAGCTAGGCATTAGCCTGGGGTTGAGATGATTATGGCCTTGCAAGGTGTGTAGCCGGGAGGGAGTCTGTGGAGGATATGGGTCCACTCAGGAGCCTCTTCGCCTACGAAAGCTTCGGATTCAGGAATATTGAACGAAATGCCAGAGGCGCCAAAGGAGGGTGAAATCTAAGAAGTACATAGAGATTTAAGACACTCTGGTAAACGTATATGAATGCGGTATTGGTTGGTGATTGATCTTCCATGACCGCCATTTTCACATTTCATTACCAATTGTTTGATATGAGCTCGGTCGGCCGTCTTCTTCTAACTCTCCCCAAACAGATCCGCAAAACCCTTGCCCAACTCTTTCGAATTGCGATACTCCATTGCGCACGGTAAGTGGATAGATCTTATCTACCAACATTTTTATCGCTTATGTTTCTATTAAACTCTGTAGATTTGTATTTAGAGTCGACGTCTGGTGGTCTGAGTAGCTTCATAAGATTAAGTTTGCATCACATATTGAGTGAAGTATCCTCAATGTACACACAAGCTTTTTAACCCAACAAAATTACATAAAAAAAATAAATCTCGATACGTAGGTATATAAGTGCTGTGTATAAAGTTCAACCACATCGCCTTCACTCTATGCGAGGACACTTGGTTAAGACTTCTGCCCGTAAGCCAAGCTACACTGCAGCTGTAAGATAAGACAAACAGCGGCTAAAAGGCAAAGTAAAAATCTCGCGCAACAATCGAGTCAGAGGCGCAAGTTATAAACAGATGCGGGAGGTGAGATGCGTCCAAGCAGCGGGATGTTTGGAGCCCCTGAAAAGCTTATTCAATCCTTGTTCCAAAGACTGTGATGAGTAGATGTTCCTGCGTAGTAAATTGGTGCCAAGGCGCAATCTAGAGTTTGGAGGCGTGTGCAGAGAATATGTAAACAGGTTATACTTTTATGGCGGCGAGGCAATATATATTTAATTATTTCACCGCGCGCATCTGATGGTTTAATAGATCACATTGACGCGTAAATCCTGACTACAAATAGAATAACCCCCCTTTTCCCTCTCTATCCTGACCACCACATCCGCCCCAACTCCTTTACCACATCCGTCTCAAGCCTGCCACTACATCATGACCATATCATATCACACAGGAAACACCTAGTACAAACCGCCATCGCGGTCCCTGCGCATCGATGAATGACTGACTAGTGAACCGGTCGTGCGCCCATCGACAAAAACAAACGAGGAGGAGGGCGATGAGAATAACGAAAAGAGACGAGATAAAAAGAGGCAAAGCCAGCATGTTTTCTTCTTCACATTAACGGACAAGCCGCCAAATGTAATGGAAAAAAAAGTGCCACCTGGAGGAAGTATAATACCAGGGGAACGAGAAAACAAATCAGAAATTGTGCCGTAGTATTTACCAGACTAGCTGATCATCCCAAGGTGTTAGTCGTCTCACGCAGGGCCTTGGCAATGTCAACCCCCATCCGGATACCTTGAACATCCGTGATGAGCCGGCTAAGACACAGTAGTCTTGGCAATACTACTACTATACGGAAGAAGAAGAAGAAGAGAAAGAAGAATAAGAGAGGAGAGAAAAAGAACGGATATTGATACAACAGAGTACGTATTTGCAATAAAATCTGCTAGGCGAGAATTACGCCACAGGAAGACAGCAAGAACTAACGGAAAGGCAGGCGCGAGTATATTGAACGCGGTACACGGTGTGGACGACCTGAGGCAGTCATGACATGAGGAAAGCGAGGAAAATCTATGCACGAGCATGGTAGGAAGCGTCATGGCCGACCGGTCTGGGCCAAGAAGAGCTGCGAAGATGAGAAAACACATCTCATCAAGCAGATGAAAAAAGAGAAGAATAACAAGGCTTTATACTATCGACGTACGTATTCCCCTTTACTGTTGACTACAATTAATCCATTTGACGACACTTGCTTAACATTATGTGAAAAAGTGTGGCGGTAAGCGGCAGAAAGGCAGGCGTGTGTGCATAGCATCAGCGCCTTTACTACTGATTTGAGAAGTGCCATGCCCAAGCTAAGCAAGCGAGCATCATTGTCTACCTACTTACCTGGGTAATCTTATATCGCTGCTGAATTTTTTTTTTTTTTTTTTTTTTTTGAACAAGGGCAGTATACACTCCATGTGCTGTTGCATTATCGGGGGGGTTATTTGGATGTGCCAACAAGGCGTCTCAAGTCACCGAGGATTCGACATCATATCTGACAGGAGTGTTGATATATCGAAAGCCCGTTCGTTTCTTTGTTCCATCGACCACAAACAACCGAGGCCAACTTGGTCATTTGGCGAGGACGGTCCGCATTTACCGACGAACGTTGTCCGATATCATTTCGAATTCGAATCATCCCCTATCGCTCAGTTCACAGGACGAGAATGGCGGTTATACATGGGCATATTGGGGGGAACTGCCCATGGAGGCTGGAAATGGCGCTTCACGCCTGGGATGGTGCAAAGGGGGGACATAAACTGCTGCTCAATCGGACTTTGGCGATTTGTATCTGCGTGCCCTGCGTCAATTTCACAAAACGTTGTACAATGCAGGAATAGAGGTCATCAGGCATAATACGAAGGAGCTTGTCACAACACAGAGCGTTCATATATATATATATTGGTGATCGTAAAGCAATTCGACCAACTAGTATAAGACCAATGACAAGCAACTCGCCTTGTACAAGTCACTGCACTAATGATACTCCAATACACATATTCATTAATGCTAAGCTCCTTTATCGGCTAATCATACATACAGATTAGTATCGCCGCGTTTTTTTTTTTTTCGAAGCTTTAATAAATAAACAAGTGTATAAGAGAAAGTAAAATTCATATAAAAAGGGCAGTGTAAAATAGTATATTTTTATCAGGCGACTTTATTTATATAATTTCACTTAGAGGACTTATATTAAGCGACTTTATTTATATCCCGGCGCTTTATGATACGAGAATCGGAGACTGGTGTTTTGCGCTGTTTAAAACGGAGCGGTTTGGCTAAGGGTATATAATGCCAAAACATCAAAAGCACGTCAACTTCAAGCGCGGCCCTGGTAGCTCAATTGGCTAGAGCGTGCGGCTTTTAACCGCAAGGTTGGGGGTTCGACCCCCCCCTAGGGCGCACAACGCTTACAAGCAATGGCAGGAAGTGCCAATTCATTTTTTTGTCAATTCTTTGCATTTAAATGCGCAATGCCAAAGAAATTCAATTTGTTGTATGCTTTTCACATTGCTTGTCAAACTTTTTTTTATACTTCCTCTTTTTACAGCTGAGGTCTATTAGGTCCCTATTCCTACTTTATATCAAGCCGTCTAAACAGCCTGCCGTCTATTATCTGCACCAGTCTTCAGCTTTGCGAATACAAACCTATAATTTGTCAAGGAAGACATTAATTGAGTTATAGAACGCTGAAGAGTCTAGATTATTTCAACGTCGACGTCGCGAGAATTATAGAGCCGGGTTAAGGCAGGCCCGCCGGAGGGGGAGGGATAAAGTCTGATAACGGACATAGAAATTCATTATCATGACAGGTAGTTGTAAATTTAGTAAAAAGCTTTAATTTTAAATCTTTTAATAATATTTTTTGTATAATTTTTATAAGTATTTAATTATTAAAAATTTATATAAATATTATTTTTTATATATATTGATAATATATAAAATATAATATTATATTTAAATTTTATATAATTAAAACATTATTTATTTTAAATTTATCTAAATAATATTTTGTTTTAATAAGATTTCAAGTTCCCTCCCCAATAATTAACATAGCCTTCTTACTCTAATTCAATGGTACCGGGGGGCTTTGAAGATCTATCGGATATTAGCTAGCACTCTAGGATCGGCAGAGGAGAAGGGAACTTACAGGTCATATGTGACACGGGAAACTCCATCTACTTCATTGACAATTCTGCGGGCGATGGCCTTGAGTAGGGAGAAGGGAAACTCGTAAGGCTCGGCGCTCATGAAGTCACTGGTTGTAACAGCGCGGAGGCTATCAATGAAATTAGTTGACCTAGTTAAATAGGAGTTTGGGGGGTTATAGTAGATAGTAACTTACATTATGATATACCCATAGACACGAGTGTCACCCATAACACCAACAGCTATAAGAAACCAGCTGGTTAGCAACGACGAGGCGAAACAACATCTCAACTGGTACATCTCTGGAGTACATACCCTTGCTTGTATCCAACCCAGCGTAGGCTTGGGAAATCTATCGCAGAGTCAGCTGCTACTCGAACCATTGATAGTATGTAGACTCACCTCATTGTAGATTCCGGCTTCCTTGATCATGGAGATGAAGATATGATCGGCTTGCCTTGCGATTTCAATTCGTTCCTTCATAATTATTAGCTACCTCATTTACGCCTTCGTATTCTCTACTAGCTTACAGGTGTACACTCTCCAAGAATGCGTACTGCAATGCCGGGCCTGCGTAATTCGTAAAATTAGCCAGCTTGTTCTCATAGCTTCACCTGCTGCTGGGAGTGTGCTCTGCCTCAGGGGTACTTTCGGCAGCAGACAAATTTATGAAGAGATGAACTCACCCTGGAAAAGGAAATCTATTGACGAGATCTTCGTGAATTTTTAAGCGTCTGCCAAGATTTCTGACCTCGTCCTTGAAGAGTTCACGAAGTGGCTCGAGAAGCTAGATTATGGTCAGTCAGTTCTATTCACAGTCTTTTCAACCCCCTCCCCTCTCTGCAAGGCAGCAAGCAATGAGAAGAAGGGACAGCGCGTTTTGACCTATGTGGGTGGTGGTGGTCTTGAAAGATGCGGGGAAGGGGAGTCTGCTTGAAATGGGGAAGCATCGACTTACCCGTAAGCCTTGCTGTAATCACCAGGGTCAGTCAAGATACACAACGAATAATATTGAAGGATGTTTAGCTTACGCCATCCATCATGCGCTATACCTTGGTTAGCCAAAGTCCAGAAAATGAAATGAGAATTAAGGGCAGTGGTGTACGGTGTCAAATGGACTCGTAGATCGAGAAACCATCAGCCGCCCTTTGACACCGTCTGAAGGGAAAGTAGTGGGAGATACTTGCCTTGGGTAGACCCCCAACGTTGTGATGGGCTGCGATCAGAGTTAGCAAATGCAGGCTTTGGTGTCTAGCACAAACAAACTTTTTATCGTTGCCGAAGGGCCTCGGAAGGAAAGGGATTCGATGCTGTACACAGTGAGTTACCCTTCTCCTAACACATAAGCCACTCTACTTACACGTCGGGGTACAGCTGTATCATGGTTAGTTTTGTCATCAATCTATGCATCATATCAATGAACATGAGCCAGGGGAGCCTACCGTTCCCTGGAGAAACCAAGAAACCTTTCCTGCGTTGGGGGTATTCTCGGCTTCCTTCTCAATCCTGATGGCTTCTTTTTCAAAGAGATCGATCTACGGTTCAGTTAGCGCTACCGGAGTTCTCGATCTTGTGGCATGATTTCGAGATCGAGAACATACAAAGGTTTCTCCAATAATCTTGCGCTTTTTCTCTGGCTCCGTAACGCCCTTGAGACGCTCAAGGAAAAGCTCGGTGCCATCAATCACTGTGAGGTTAATCCCGAGATGCTCTTTCAACGTCTCCTTTACTTTCTTGGACTCGTTGAGACGCATCAATCCTACCACATGTTAGTGTCGGTCGGTCTCATCTGAGAGGTTCGGGTCATACCATTGTCGATGTGCACTGCTTTAAAGCGGTCACCTGAATATGTGTTAGCCTCAATACACATGCTTGACAGCCATTAGGATCGTACCGATTGCTTCCGTCATAAGCTTGGCTGCCACTGTGCTGTCCACGCCACCAGAAACGGCACCTATGACTTGGGCTTTATCACCAACAAGCTTTCTAATTCGAGTAATCTCCTGCTCGACGAAGTCGCTCATTACCCAGTTGGGCTGCGCTCCACAAATGTCGACGCTGAAGTTTCGCAAGAGCTCACTTCCGCGGGGAGTCTGTTAGATGTACTCATTAGTTAAGTAACAAAGAGCGAGAAAGACAGTATGGAACTGATATACATACATGCTCAAGCTCGGGGTGAAATTGTACACCTGTTGGTAATTAAAGTCAGTCGGTAGGTACAGAGTTGATCATCTTAGACCGCGGTAGGTATGCAAAACAAAAGAGAAAGAAGATGGAGACGGCGAAAGTAGGAGTTAGAGGGGCAAAAGAACATAAAAGATAACGGTCGGATAGGTGATTTGAAGGATGGAGATGGGGAGGAAAACTCACCGAAAATGGGCTTGGTCTGGTGCGCAATGCCAGCAAACTCAGAGTTGGCCGTCTTAGCCACGACCACAAAGCCCTCAGGCAGGCGGACGAGCTTGTCAAAGTGACTCATGTAGGCTATCGGAGAGTTAGGTCTCGTAGAAGATCGGGGTGTTGTATATCGAATGGGAGCTAACTCACCATGCATGGTCTCACCCAAACCAGCGAAGAGACGGTCAGCATGGCTGTCGACTTTGTGAATGGTGACGTCGGCGTGGCCGTATTCTGCACAAGTTGTTAGAAAATGTATTTTGGAGTCATGGATAAATCCAAACCTCGAGCTGTTCCACGAGCAACGTTCTGAGAGTTTGTCTGCCAAGCAATTTCCTGCACGCGGTCAGTCACAATAGTGGAACGACAGGAGAAATGGTGGAACTCACCTGGCAACCATAGCTACATTCGCAGAATTAGTGCTACGCCTATGATGGGGCTTAAATGGAGTCATACCAGATGCCTCTATAAATCTATGTCAGTCAAAGTACATTTCTCCCACTAAGAGTTTTCAGGGCACTCACAAAATGGGAACACCAAGCTCAAAGACGGCAGGATCAACATCTTTCATGAATTAGTAAGATTTGTAGACCAGATGTGGAGGATAGGGATCTTACGAGGCGAGCCTTCATCGTAAACAGACGAGGGACCTATCGAGTTTGTTAGAATAAAACATGGAGTAGTACCCAGAAAGATTCCTACCTCCAGATAAGACGATGCCCTTGGGCTTCCAGGGTAGCTCGGAGAGCTTGGCAGTGCAGGGCAACATCTCAGCGTACACACTGAGAGCCCGCAAGCGTCGGAGGATGAGGTGCGAAGTTTGGCTGCCAAAATCCAACACCAAGATGGTCTGTAACGAATCGAATCAGTCCAGCACGTGTGTAGCGGCTGTTGGTGCTACCGGGGTAGGCCAAAAAGACTGCAACTTGGGAATTTACACACGTCGAAATGGTTGTGAGGCGCCTCGGCATCGGTATCGGTGGCCATCTTGTCTAATTGCTGCAGCCCAAGGATGAACTTTGGATTGATTGAAGGCTGGAAAAAATTTGGGTGACCCCTCCATCTTCCATATTAAAGATTATACTATCTTATACTATCTTATCTTATCTTATCTTATCGCTGAAGAACCCCACTCGAGACGCCCAGTATGTATTGACCATGCCGCTGTTGAGTTCCCGTATAACATGTGCCAAGCTCTCTCGACAATTCACCATCTAATTCAAATTTCACCTCTTTTCACCACAGCATCGCACTGTCCTGGTACGACTTCTTCTACACTCGTTTACAATGGAGGCCACATCCGGGGCGATATCCCTAGCCCTATTGAAAGGGGGATTCCACTCCCAGATGGCGGAGTCAGACCCGCGCCGACCTTTCAGCCACTTTTCGACTATCTTGAAGACTTCGCTGCCAGGAATGACTTTAGCATAATGAAAATAAACGGCGTGCAGATACACAAACGCCACGTATGCCTACATGGAATTCCTATGTCCTTGCCTGTACGGGTGTCAATGCACGGTACAAGCATCATGACTGTCCGTGGAAGGGTCTTGTCACTTGCCGATTGGAGGAGGAATGGAGGTGGACATTTCAGTTGACCTAGTAGTCGATCCCACCCACAATCACACTCCGCTACCCACTTTAGTTACGCTAAACAGATCCTCTGATTTCGAGTTGGTCATTCCCACCCTGTTTTCTATTAGTAGGCGAAATGACTGACGCCCTCAGGCAAGGTACTCCGGCTAGCAATGCCCTCCCTGCTCATGAAACGGACAACATTCTTAGACTTGATCCTCTCACAATCGAATGGGCGCACACGCAAAATATCTCACTATTGCACCGGATGCAAGCCGTGCTTCAGCGGCTCAGTCAACGGCTGGAGCGCTTAAAAAAAAGAGCCCCAGCGATACCGAGGAGGGATCCCGTTTCTTCAGCGACTGATCATAGCACTCAGAGCATGGCTGAGAGCAGTGCAGGAAGAAGGCCCAGCTTACGAAGCTAATTTGAAGAGCTTTCGCACTCCTGCATTTTCTCGGCGTTCCTATCCTTCCGGAGGCAAAAATCGTTATATTACAGCTCATGCACCAGCTTCGACTGATGCCATCTTGGCCCTCCGACTTTTCTTGGCAACGGTTTCACCAGTTTCCCATTGAGTGTGATACCCTTCAAGAAAGACAGAAATGGTGATTTTCAGATGCTCAAGACTTAGGCCTCGTATTCTCTGAACTCATTATGAAATCTCTGTCTGCAGGCTGCCGAGGCTTGGGTGAGCTCTTGGGGCTTGGCAAAATATCTTGAGAAGCTCCCAATATCTCAGAAGCCCGGTCCAAGTGCATTTATGCCCTAGATTTTATGACAGGAATGCATTTGGGCTCCCAAGATGAAGAAGCCGCCATTAGCCCTGACCGTCTTGAATCGGAGACCTCCAACAATCCTTTGCATAGAGAACCTGATGTGGCCCTTGAAAGTGATATTTGGGATGAGGACGAATCTTTTGATTGCCTCGATGAGCGGGCTGAACTCAAAATAGACCTTCTTAAGGATGAGATGAATCGGATTGACATGGATGAGGCTAAGGATTTGGAACGCCGGATTGAGGCCATTCTGACTTCTCAGGAACGCTCTTGTTTGACTCTCACCGAAGATGATGAGACTGCACTGTTCCCGCCAAACACTATTGACGATCAGATCTGTGAGTAACATATACCAGATATCAAGGCTTTGCCTGCGTCTCGGTTGGAACTGACCAAATGACAGCGCGTTTTAGGCATGAACACCCTGGAATTTACGACGCAGTGGAAACCCATCGGGATCGCCTTTACAGATTGATCACACGCAAAGCCCAGTTCATGCTTGCCTTTACGTCTCGTGCTAAATGCTCAACAGCTTTGTTGGCCTTCTTCCTGTTTCTTGTCGCAAATTCATCAAAAGAATCTAGGAAAAGGCTGGTCCGAATCATCCATCCTTCGGCACAACCGTTATCAGTTCAACTCATTTTGGGGCAACGGGCGTGGTCAGCCGCTATGTTTGACGAGATTCGGTCGATTGATCTTGATAATCTTGAAACAATTGGCGACTTCGCCACAGCTTACATTGGGATCGCCTTGCTGCCCACACCACGGGGACTATATTTATAGCGGCAGCGCCACGGGGTTGAATCCTATTGGGGATCAATTGAGGTTACGAAGAGAGGGCCAAAGCCTGTACGGACACAGGGCAGTACTTGCTCTTGGGCATAACGAAATTATGCGGCGACGTGCAGCTCGCCGTGGTGCCGCCCTTTTCATCTATGAGAAGGTGGCGCTTGAAGGCTCTAGCTATTCCTTCATCCCCGCGGTACGATTCTCCATCGACGGCAATCAATTACAGGAAACTCAGATCAAGGCTGCTGCGCTAGCATTATTTTCTGAGAATTGCTATACACTATTCCTTGCCGGAAAACCACGAACCGAAAACACCACTTCATCACGCTGGTGACGGACACCAGCCGAGCTATTCTAGATATCATACGACCAGATGATTTTCCCGAGCCTTCGTGGTACAACGGCAATTTGGCACTGCCGCTCCTACAAGTTGCAAGTCCTATCTGGCAAATGGTCAAGGACCTGACTCCCGTTATTACCCGTACACCTTGTGGATGAATGTCTACGAAACCATTTTCTCAAGTCTCATGAACGCTACTTGTCAAAATCTACTAGCATGGAATCACTGTTAAATTGTGAATTTCGTTTTACCAGAGTGTCTTAAATCTTTATATACTTCTCAGATTTCACCCTCCTTTAGCGCCTCTGGCATTTCGTTCAATATTCCTGAATCCAAAGCTTTCATAGGCGAAGAGGCTCCTGAGTGGATTCATATCCTCCACAGACTCATCTAATAAGAGTACATCATAAGGATTTGAAGATGAATATCATTCAAAGCAAGAAAAAGGTCAAAGCTCGTAACAAATGCCTGCAAAACAGGTGTCCAAGTATCTCTTCTATATATTTTTCACGTCGTGTCTCATTTCTCCCCCTATCCTCCCTCATTTTCCCCTACCTCTGGACCTCATATTGGACCGGATAGGAGCCACCGCCACCATACTATTAGCAATGAGTAGATGTAATATCTAATTGAAAACAAGTACCGATACAGTATTGTGATGGCCGAACATTCCATTCTACTCTTGTTGCTTGGTCTGTCTATCAGTAAGCTGCATTGCCCTTATCAAGCCCAGGAATCTCAAGCCTACCTGAGTGCCATATCAAGCGACCCTCCTTCCAAGGGCTCAGCTCATCATACGAGCAATCATTTCGCCAAACGCGTTAACCATTGGTCCGTATAAATCGCTTGAGTCCGATGGCGTCCTGGTGAATAACGCATCTCCCTTGATAGGGAATAAGATTGATCGCAATTTTCTGCAGAGAGGTTTAATGCACTTGACTCATCCGGGAATTCATTCAAGATATACTCAAATGCAATTTCATCCATGTTTCCTTGCTTATTTCTTGCTATATCCTCAAACGTGCCGGTATACCAACCTGTGAGCTGACTTGGCTTCGAAAGAGTACGCCCCACAAACTCCCAACCACGACGAATACACTGCCAAAGCAAAACGTAAAGGAAAGACTCAAGATCGTGCCGATAAGTGTGGTCAGTATCTCGTAGCACTTCGATAGCCATAAACTCCATTCTGCCCGTGCGGCAACGTGCGCCGCTCCGTCCGCTGCCAAGCTCCTTGGCAAGGTCCAAGTCAATCAGTATGCCTGAGAAACCGTCCTTTTTTAGATCAGTTATGATGATATTATTTTCAGAGATATCGCGGTGAAGGATGTTTCCCTTGGAATATAGAGACTGATGAGCCTTGATACCATCGCAAAGCGCTTCTAGCAACTCCAGAGGGGATTGGTATTGGTAGATCGGCCGACCTGCAGGAGAGAATACGAGACAGCGAAAAGTGCGGTTATCAAATAGACTGTCACTGGACCCGATTGAACGAGATCCATAGCTCTCCCTGGCGAGATATGTGACCTCATTTTGCAGATCCGATCGCTGACTTTGAAACCTGGATCGTTTGGGTTTTAGGTTCTCATCGACTAACTTACGCTTCATAGAACGCTTAGTAGCAATCTCTGTGCTGCTACGGTTCCTTTTAAGCGAGTGTTGAGGTTGGAAAAGTAATCGTGAGAAGGAAGAAACGCCGCTGGCGGTGCCTTTGAACGAATAGCGTTTTGTGAATGTTATGCCTGAGCGTATGTCATCGATGTTGGTGATATCGTAATGGCCAATCAGTCTAGCAATGCCTTGGACTCCTCTCTGGTCGGCTATATTGAAGAAATCTATCTCCGATTTCCGCTGACTGGAGGGCCAAGAAAACTTGGCAACATGATCATAGTCATTGGATTCTGGATGCTTTGCGAGAAAGCAGGATGTCGCACGGGAGACAATCGCTCGCTGGTGGGTGAGAGGCACTGGGTTTAGCTGTAACCTCTGTCTCTTACACCCACTGCCGTCAATACTCATAAAGTAAGAGTCGCTCTCTCGCTTTATGAACGTATCAAGACCCAGGTCGTCGTCATTCATCATGATATAGCCTGAAAGCACTCGAATAAATCGGTCTGGGTGCTCGTGGATATTGAATGGGCCAGGGCTGTAGCATCCTGAGCGATCAAATACCCATAACTCCATTTTATTCCCGCATATAGTAAACGCGTGAAGATAGCGGCGTGTTGGTTGATTGGCGAATACGTCTCGGGCGTATACCGCTAGTTGTATCAGTGGCTTTTTGACACCATCATGATTAGATGCCTTGAGCTCACCAATAACCGCGATGTCTTTTCGGAGACACTCTGCGTCTGATGGCTCTCTATTCTTTCTCCTGACAACTAAATCGATCTGCCGATATACCTCGCCACCAGTAATTTCTTTTGTAGAGTTTGTTGAACAGTAATGACGTTGCTCTTCAGAGAGATGATTGTTTTGCAGTGCGAATATCCAATCTAATATTTGGGTTTGATTAGGTGAATCATTCAGATTCACCCATTTATTGTCGATGTGTTGTGTCTTGATCGACTCGCACACGGCCTGCGCACGACCCGACCAGTCCTTATCCTCAAAGTATTTCTGGTGGAATCCTTTTGCATCCCGATATGTACTGGTTCGGATCTCCTCCCAAACCCTATGGTCAACAAGCTTCCGAGTCTGCTCGTCGCCTTGCTGTGATGCAGAGGAGAATGTAAATGGAGTATCGCTGCTGGGAACACCCAAGAGGCGTTGCGGAGTCTGAAGTAGAAGCTCTGTAGAACATTGGGAATCGGCTGCCGGAACCGCAAAAGTCAGAGTGTTCAATGCTTCTGACGTCTCCTTTGCTTCCAGAGCTTCTTTAAGTGTACTCATGGTTCCAGCTTTGGCCAGGACTATTACTATCTGCGAGGACCAAGGCTGTGATTGAGCAGTAACAAAGTTTCCTTGTCCAGTGAATTCAGTCCACAGAGTTCAGAGCGTTCAAGAAGTAATATTGGAGAAAGAGGACTGAATACATTGTTGTTATTTTTACCAAGTTTCGCAGACTTTATATACTAGAGCGACATCCTTGCATCGACTCTCCGATGACCCCACAAGCTATACGGACACATTCGCTCAGACATTCAAATGTTGGCAAGCCGGCTGGTATGAGCAGAATAGAGAACATCCTTGTAGCACATCTCACCGACCTATGGACTTTACGAGATAAGCCGAAAGATTTCGTCTGCTCATAACTACATGGCCTTCGACTGAACTATACCCTCTTCCCTTTTTTATATAGATAAGTGAACATGGTATTAAACTGCGTAGCTACTATTAATTGCCCAGGTGTGTCCCGATGACTAGAATTAGCTTATTGAACATTTATATTACAACAAGGCAAATTAACAGGTTGCCATATCCTCCCCTGTATGAATTGAATATGTATGTAACTATTTAGAGCCGCCAACGTAAAATTTGAAGCTATTTTGTTGTCATCCGATGGGCACTAGACATTTACAATAGTTCAGTAATTATATATTCAATAGAGATCAAGTGTAGAGATCAAGTGAGCTGCCATTAAAAAAAAAATAGCTATCAGCTGAAATATTTCCGAAATGCTATAGACAGTGTGTAAGAAGGTAATATTCAGAACTGCGTTCAATGAATCAGGATTAGTGAATTAAATGCTTACTTATAGCCCCTCAAAGGAATAATCATCGTCTTACATTTCTTTGAAGTTTGGTAATGCCCGCTCTTGCTTATTATTTTTGAGACATTCTTTTTAAACGTATGACTGTTGATATACTGACATTTACATTATCATCTCTACCGAATGCATTTTTTGCTATGTTGATGTTAGAGGCAGAGAGTTGAGCACGTCATGGCCACTGCATCACGGGTAAATGCTATCCGTTCATACCGCTGCGTATGCAATCTGCGATAACATTTGAGAACGGGGATATGGCAGGATTTTGGAACACCATTCGCAAATAATTCTAGCTTGAATACTAGTAAATGCTGTTCGTTAGTATTTACGAACTATCTCCCCCCCTCCTCCCTCAAAGCTGCGGCTGGCACAGGATGAGTTATAAAGCCGTCTATCTTTGGGTAACGTTGCGTAAGGCTTGTGTTTTTATGAGAGTGGGATGTATTGTGTGGCAGGTGGCGATGAAAAGAGAGGATGAAAGAGGAAGCGGCCTACCGGAGCTGCCTTTGAGAAATAGGTCGCGGATGGGCATACAGAAGAAGCCCAACTTATTCCCGCGAGTCAAGTGCACTGTTAGAGGTAAGAATGTTTTGCTAAGGTGTGGACCCTGCATATGCTTACATATATGTGCATTCACAGCAGCACTGTTAACGTGACTAGGATGAATTCACACCCTAACGTCTGACTTCGAAGCGGGGCAGCCTCTGATATTTACCATCACAGAAAGAACAATAGGAGACTAGGTTCGTAGAGTTCAAGTTTCTTTGGCTGTGAGGAATATATATACTTATATGTTCCTGGAGGTCATGTGATTTCGCACAATCTTTATATTGCCTACATGTAGGTATACATCTCTCACCGCCTTAAGAGTTACCAAGTAGATTCGCCGCGAGAATGGAAACGCACTGCTTCCTATAGAGTTCCATTGCTGACCGAAATCGCCAATCCTATGAATAAAGCGGGATAGTTCACATACATATCCTCGGCGATTTAATAAGGGATATAATTCTTGTGACTATGCTTCTCCTTCGCAGAGTATTAGATACACGTACTCAATCATAGCACTGTAACTGACAGTACTTCTTGATCTTATAATTAGTGCGCGTGTGGGTTTATCGTTAAGCAGTTTAATATAGGCTCAACTGGTCTAGAGATGGCATTGGAAGGTTATATTTCCAAAATTACAGGTAGCAGGTAGAACGAAATATGTGTATCTCTACCGGAAATTTTTATTACACTCTGTGTGCTAGTTGTCAAAAGCGACATTTTGTGTTACTTTCATAAATGAGAGAATGTAGCCCATATAGAGAGTTTATGTGTTGACTATTTGCATTGGCTTGCTCTTCACCACCCTTATAAAAGCAGCTACTAGATTTATTTATGTTTTCTTAGTTCCAAGCCATGTTGCCACCAAGTATGAACCTGCTTTCACGTAATAGTGGCGTCTATTTGTTTCAACATTCTCCCCACTGGTATCCCGGAATAATAAAAACCGATCCAGTTCGTATTAGGCTGTGAATTTAAGTTTCAAGATACATTACTTTGGTTGACACTTTGACGAGGACGATACCAGATATATAGAATGTAATTTTAAACTGATGCAATCAATGTTAAGATACTAGATACGGCTTACTTATGATACCGGTGAAACCTCTCTTTCGACTTCGATATGCTTATGCCTATATGAACTATCCCATTACCATCCCCACCTCCTCCACGCGTTGATTACCATCACCAACACGCCAAAGCCCTATTAATTGACGCCAATTGACCGAGACTCAACACTCGGCATCTTGGATCATTAGCTGCTGGGCTCGATGTAGATTATTTTTGACATGCTTGTTGTCGGGGGCCCCAAGATGTCCCAAGGAGAGTAAGCTCAATATGTTTTTGCACTACACATGCATGTACTATTTAGCATCCTACGTCCCGAATCTAATAATAATAAGTCAAAAATCTCTCGTGCTGACCTGTGTCTCTTCATTCCATTATAAAGGGCTCAAATCGGGAGCTTCGGCCAACACCTCGTTTGTATATGTTTGATGTGCAGCCAACTAGGCAATTTTCAGGCGTTTCATTTCAGATAACATGCTCATTCGATCATAGCATGCATCCCGGCACCTCATCAAATTGTTCTCCAAGAGTGCTTGAAGGGCAAGGCAGAGTAGACCTTTTGCGCCTTCATTCCAATCCCTCAATCCACAGTGTCTTGCAAGCCAATCGGTGAGTCTCTCGTTCTTTAATTTTACAAGAAATGTGAGTCCCCAGGCTCCTTGTCACTGGCCAGCATTTTCAGATCAGGTCAACTATATCCCAAGGTCAGGATTCGTTACTGCTACCAAGCCATGGCAATATTTCAACTGATGACTCCTTTACTATGGCTTCTATTCCGCGCTCTTCAATCTCAATCAGGCAGAATGGGATACGGTCTATAATGCTTGGGCTGAGAACTTTTTCTCTGCCAATACAGCCCGCTTTGCTTACCTCAACATTTGTTTGCGGTTAGTGCCTTCGAACTGAAAGCCAATTCATGTGGTACTCAGCCTAGCAAGGCAGGGTTGGTCAAGTGAGTCACATGGGGTATCTTATGGCACACGGAACCTGATTCTGGGTTGAAAAGAGGGGATGATTGAAACTGGAAATATCAGTATACCTACTCAATTGCAACATGTAAAACCTAGGCAGCAAATCGACATGGAATCGAATCCTTTGGCCTACATTAACACCCCGCCGTTTGGAAATATCACAACGGACCCGCGGGGGTTCGTTGTGATATTTCCTCAAAAAAAATATACGGCGGGGTGTCTATATCTGTTGACAGATGCCACTAGTGTTCAATCCTTGTCAGGCAGAACCTAAGCTAGCCGGTTATTAGGTACCTCCTTCACCACAGCAATTAAAAAGGAACAGAGAAGAAAGTTCACAGAGTGAGACTATTGTAATAGGTGTTAAGCATTATTCTCATTTGGAGCAACTTACAGTGCTTATAATGGTTGTATCTATGAACATTCGTCAAAGTTGATCGCAGCAATAATATGGCGGTGTGTGTCATACATTACTCAATCGCTTCAAACAATGCCGAAATACCATTGTCCTTTTTCATTTTGACATTTCTCAATTAGGCCATTTGACGTCGTTAAAGGGTAAATTACTGGTGGCAAGGTACATTGCCATTAACATCAAGTATAGGGTTATAGGGCTAATATAGAAGAAAGTTTGATGAGGGAAGCAGGTGTTTAGCTAAATGAGCGTACATTAAAACTATTATATTAAAAAGCTAAGATGAAAAACGAGAAAACAGTGTTTCCCTCCTTATATGTAGAGCATTATATGAGATCATTGGGCAAGATATAAAAAAAAAAACAGCAGCTATCTTTGGCTATAAGCCCGCCAGCCAAGATATAAGAGTCAAAAAAAGATGCCCCCACACAGACTTGAACTATGGACCTTTGCATTACAAGTGCAACGCTCTACCGCTGAGCTATAGGGGCGATCTGATTGGCTGCTCCATATTTTCATTTATATACTTTTAGCTTGATCCCCACATTCCTCGCTGACTGCAGTCTAGTGCCTTTCATGACAGCTCAGACGCCTTTGCTCTGCTGTTGATGTATGTACATCTATTCGACCTTCAGCCAAAATGCAAATGCTGCACTTAATTCTTGGACACACTTGGTCATTCTCGCCAAACATAGACCTTCTTGCCAGACCTCAAAGGATGGTATGGCTCAATACCCGCCTATTTAGCCATTTTATACACCCAAGCATCAGGTTGTTAAATGGACGTTATCTCCTTGCTCCTTATGCTCCAAACATTAGAGAGCGAAATTTTCGAGTAACAGTTACGATGATGGGATTTTAACTATTCTTCATATCATAATTTTTCTTTCACTTCTCTCGGCATGGGCCAAGCGAAGTCCATTTTACGCGGGCTTGGCGAAGCGGAGTGGGCTCAAGTTATACCAGATTTACCAGCTTATTTACAACTCCAGCCCGACATAGAGATGTAAGCCCACCCGTCCAGATGTCGGCACAGTAATCTGAGTTATCCGTATCCAAAACTAAAATCCACCATGAGTCTAGAAGTTTACTTATATCAGACTATTCCGCGCTGAGCTCGTAGAAGTAAAGATGGGTACGAGTAGACCTTGCAACATCTGAAAATCGCTAAAACCGGTGATGCATAGTAATAAATCTTGTAAATCTTGAATAACATGTCAATCGCGTATACGACGGTATTATATGAGAGGCAAGGCTACATTTGTGCAGTGGCGCTCTTTGCGCTAAACGAAGCGTGTACCGTGAGTCCACGAAAGGCAAATTCCCAACGCATCTATAATACACCTCAAATAGCTTAGCTTTGTGCTTTGTGCCTAAAACTCAACCTACCTACTAATACAGGTGACAGAGGTTAATAGACCTGAGCGCAAGCCTCACACGGTCTGGATAGCTAGTGTTGAAAATGCTTGTCAATGAGATAGTGGAGATAAAGCATCCGGCGTGGCATGGCTTTCATGTGTTACTCGAGACTCTCAAGTTCAGTCCCTGCTCTTCAAGGCCATCTAATCCATTTGACTTGTCATTGTCGCAATCGACTTTGAAAACATCAATACCTTCACGAGTGCATTTTTCTCACAAAGAGAACTGCCAAGCTGGTTTTGCAATTCTTGACACCAAAGACTTTCACCAAATTTCCCCTGGAGAGCCCAAGTCAACCTACTTCGCCACAGGATCTCTTTCAAACCTCTCGGAGACTTCAAGAAAGTTCTTTTTTTTTTGGCAAGTCAGCTGCAATTTCTCAGCTAGATATCGCAAGCAGTATTGAGTCTCGTATTCCTAAGTCATATTCGTAGACCATGGGTTTAGGAGCGGCCTTCACCGTATTACGTGCTCTCCATTCTCGATTCCCGGGGCGCCTTTCAGAGATCTTAGAAGCTTTTACATTTTAAACGAAGTATTTAGGTTTTTGATAGGCTCTCTTGGCGATCTTCTCGTGAGGCTAGAGCGTTCTTACAAAAGCCTTCATTGCGTAGGGAATGACGCACACTTCACTTTAAGAGCTTTGCTTCTTTTAGCAGTTCAAGGATTTATACAACGACATCATCAACCAATCTCAAGTGAACATGATCACGAAAAGGATACTTTAAGGCAAGTTAAGACCCATCCGATTCCTTCCCGGACAAATTCAGAGATTGGAGCGATGACGGAAAAGGCAGTTTGGAAAATACTCGAAAGCGTCAGTTGAAGTCGAAGGACAAAGAGTAAATATATATTCGTGCAGCTCGGGCATATGCGACATAGTAACGGGAAAGGATTTATATACTTCATGAGACGAATTGTTATTACCATGATGAAATTGCTAAAGTCTGGTGGCCAAAATTTTCATCACAGAGCAATCTTTCAGAGGCCTCTTGAGAGGGGGAGACGTAAGGTACTCCAGACGGCTAAACCATTGTCTGCTATTAAGCGAAGACTCGAAGAAGGATAGCAGTAGGCGTAGAGGGAAGCGATTACAATGATGAGCGAAACTAGGCTTACATTTCATTATACACCTGGCTCTCCTATCGCTCAATCCATTAAAACGTTTTACCCACTTTGACATCACATCTTAGAAGAACTTCTAAAATGTGACTACCGTCAACTATGATTGCCTATCAGATGAGGTCTCTTCATACTAAAAAGCAACCAGACGTAGCGATTCAACATTCGAACGGAACTTCATAAAGCGTTAGCAATTCGCTCATATAGGCGATGTCAATAAACATGCTCAGCTCAAAATCAGAGGACTGTTCAACTATCTTCCTGTCAATTGCCAACTCCTTCGTCTGAAAATGTGTCAGTAAGAGTGTCGGCGAAAGCGTGGGCTTGAAATATTGATGAGATATTTTTTGTTTGTGTAAATAGCGAATAAAGTATTTTAGCAATCATCTTCTAAGAAGATTTATCTCAATAGCATACTAATAACTGTCTGCATTGCGCAATCACTAACGAGTAGACTATGCAGCAAAAGGTTTGGGTATTGGGTAGGCAATTAGGGCAGCAGATCTAAGTGAAGTCTTCTTCAACTATGGTCAATTCTTCACAAAGAAGCATACTTCGCAACACCACCAAACTATCTTCTTCTCTCAAATACGTACATAGGCCTCTAGTATTTTTTAGGGGTTACATTACTCATAAATCTAGCTTCTTTGTTACATTGTAGCGCAAAATATCAGAAGGTTTATTCATTCCGAGAATGCTATTGCCATTTAATCTCTACAAGACTATATCTCGCATTGCAAGAGACCGATAGTCGCTTCTGCGAGAGTGAGTGTGGAAAATTTTACATGATTTATCTCTATAGAGCTATGTCTCCGTTCAATTGCAGCGTTATTATCTTACATCTAAACAAAAATGATATGTATTCAGGTAAGAAAACCTCAATTGACTACATCATATAGAGAAATTATACCACATTTGACGCATATCATATCATTTTCAGCATTTTTCTCCTCTTTTCGTCGCCCGTCCTAGCGACTAAACACCTATTCTCGCCTATCCTACCCCCAACAATTTCTCCAATTCTATTCAAACTGCACAAACGCAATATAGAGTAAGGGGTTGTTACTCCTGCATCATGCAGAGAGATGCCAAGACACGGCAGCCATAATACACGGAGCAGACGGCCAAGAAAACACCAAAAATAGTACCAAAAAACCACACCTCTCCTCACTCATAAATGATGGGAAGTGTTGGAGGTGGTTCATTTCACCACAGTGGCCCGTAGACCCTTCATTTATTTACCCCGCGTAGGATCGAATAATGATTTGCTACACACAGCTACGCATATACTCCGTATATACCTATGTATGTATAAGCAAACATGCGTGTGAGATAGTACAATGGATGTATGTACAGCTGTGCTCGCTCGCATGCACGAGCAGGGCGATTGCATGGTGGGATGCATCACCTCCTCACCTCCGCATCTCGTACAAACAAGAATGCGCGCAGGATCCGGTCGTTACATGACAGGTCGCCCACAGTTGATGAAACACTCGCCAAATTGGCTGGACTGATTGGAAGGCCATAGGGAGAACTGGCCACATAAGAGGTTGCATACGACTGCTACTCCACGAAAGCAGAGCTCACCAAGCAGCCCATGCTTTGGCTCTGGCGCCATCCAAGCTCCATCTTAGTGTGCCGCTTCACTCTGCTCGGCCGGCACTCTGCGCTCGCTCGCTCGCTCGCTCGTCTAGTCAGGCCTCGTCAAGGTTCCATCAAACGCCCATGCAGGGCTGCTTGCACACAGTTGCCAATTTCCACGCGGGCAAACAACAACAATAGCCGGCGAAAAGCACGAGCTTGCCGCGGTTCCCACCCTCACTGCATCTACATGCAGCAAAGAAAGCAAAAGGACACGCCGTCGGGGAACCAACGCAGCTGTCCAGCAGCTCCTCCGGGATACAACTTCGCCTACTTCCGAGACATGAAAGAGAGGCGGGCGCCTACCTGCAGGGCACGGCCAATAGCCATCAGGGTTGCAGTATGGACACAGTGGTAGTCTCGTATGTAGTAGTATTACACATATGCACAGACATGCAAGAAAGGCGTGCTCTTTCAGCGGAGCAGCAAGGCTGAGCCGAGCTCCCTATTGGGGCCTTCGGTGAGAAATCAGACAAGCCACCTTTTTTTTTTTCCTTTTATCCCGCTTGTCACTTTTCGGTGGCGCAAAGGTGATGGTCATGCAGCAGCGAAGGCAGGCAGTCAGCCAAAATAGCGTCGTTGCATGTAAGAAAATGGGAGATTGGAAATAAAAGAGAACATATGATTGATTTGTGCGGTGGCGCTGCGTATCCTGGGACTGAGACACTCTACGGGCGTCGACGCTGACTTCTAGAAACACGGCAGCGCCTCCACAAGACAAAGGGTAATAAAAGAAGAAAAAATAGCCGAAACTAATAACCAACAGATGAACAAGAGGGGGAAAAAAAAAAAAAATTACAGACAGCATGGCTCTCTCTTTGCACCCGATGGAGCGGTACTTGTCCTGTTCTCTTGGGAACCGCTGCCTAGCCATTGGGCGGCCCGATCCCCGTCTGCCTGGTGAGATTTGGGATAATATTCTGGGTCGTTTGTTGGACGGACCCGGCCCATCACCTTTTTTTTTTTCGGAGATGTGCGCTCTGTCTCTTTCTTTTTGCGCCCATCAAGGCGTGGGCGTGTGAATACTAATAGTGGCAGCAAGCAGTAAGACTACACGTCGCTAGCTAGTAGCCAGGAGCATCTGAGCTGTGAATCCATTCGCAGACGGGGTAATACAACACGCGATGAGCATGAGCTATAGCAAACCGCCTCGGCATCTGACAGCAACTAGTAACAAGCAATTATACATGCATGGGCGTCATAGATGCGAGTACAGATAGCACTAGAGGCAATAGTAGCAGCAAGAAGAGGGAGACTGGGAGCAAACGCAGCTGAACAAGCCCACTCGGCTTGATTCTTGACAGCAGAAGCTGCCCGCATTGGAGGGTACCGTGACAGGCGCTGGATGCCCGTGGCCGCCCTCGGTCCAGACGAACCTCATCGGGCCCGCCGTGTGATTGGATCCTCGTCCATCCACCCAGCCGGGACACGCGTTCATTCGCCCAGCTGCCATCTTTGGCGTCCCGGAACCGAGCATGGCCGCAGACGCCTTCGAACACGGGACAGGCGATGGAGCCGTGGTGGATGAGGGCGATGGATGATTATATGGGCGGCGATGATGCCATAGGCTTGCACGATTGGAGATGAAGCAGACGAGGGCGTGTGTGATAGAGAAAAGAGGCGGCAGTTCGGTTCCAGGCTAGTAGGAAATCGTGTTGGAATCACAACCAACAGTCGGTGTTTGCTCACGACAGCTTCTGCTTCACCCCTCCCCTCCACCAACAACGATCCATTGCGCTGGAACCACTCACAAAAGCCCAAACCACCGCACTGGTAAGTTCCATGAGCTATGACACCGAGAGAGAGAGAGAGAGCAAAGAGCCCACGGGCCGATATCCCATCATCACTCTTGGCCCTCGACGCCCGGTTCTTATGCTGGCTGCTACCGTGCCATTTTATTGTCTGGCATCCTCTTGGCAAAAGTGCACACACACAGACTCACAGACACACACCTCTCCTTTTTTTAAGGCTACTAGTTACCTTTGCATCGTATTTTTTTTTTCCAAAATTTCATCGTAACATCGTACTCTGTCTAAATGGTTAAATGCGCACAGGTGCCAAGTTCTGACGACTAATAAAACGTTAGTCCCAAGCAAGAACTATTACAGCACATCCTTAGCGGAGTGGCTGATGATCACCCGCGCGGGCGCTCTGCTGATGGGCCTGGAAATTTCCTTTCCCTCTTCCATGTCGTTCCTCCGACGGCCATTGTTATCATTGGAGTAATCCGAACCGCTGTCTTGGCTTTCAAGCGGAGACAGTAAGAATTTAAAAAAAGACAAAGGAAAATATGATATACCGTTTGGAGGATTTGAAACTCAGAGACTCGGCCCACTCAGCCTTGTGTTCGCAGAGTACGTCTTAATCAGGCTTAGTGAGACACCTGCGATGCTCTCTCTCTCTCCGCAGTCTTCAGTTGAGGCTGATTTTTAGAAGACGTGGCATCTCAAAAACTCAGAACAACCACTACTAACTATTGACTATTTCCTTTCTTCGCCGAACTCCGTTGCCAGCGAATCCCCGGATGATTTATTCCATTGGATTTCCCAAGTACGTGTTGTGCTCATGCCCAAGTAGTTAGTTAGTCCGTGTCTCAGAACAAAAAAAAAAAAAAAAAAAAAAAAGTGATAAGATACAGGCGCTAATAGTAGTCGCGGACAACGCCGTCATGATCCTTCTTCATGTTCCTTTCTGTCTCTTTTTTTTTCCCCTTGTCATTAATGATTGCACGTTATGTAGAGAATGCTGGCAAGCGAGGGAGATCATTTGGAGATCGTATGAAACCGCTCCTGTGCCAGCAAAGATGCTTATTTAAACGAAACTCTCCGTATTTTATATCGGCGCTAAGGCAAGCCCTTTGAGATATACGCAATATCAGCATCGAAATAATAATCATCAAGTACGTCTCAATAACCAATAGTTTGTGACTCAACAGTAGTCATTCCAACTATTGAGGCTCAAATCATGCTTACCTCTCTCTCCCCATCTGTGTTGGTCCCAATCCTCATAGAGGCAGCCCATCACAAGCCAGATATACGTGTATATGTATGCATGCACCCCCCCGGAGCCTTATTTCCAAGCACAAGGCATCGCCACGAGAATCATAAAATGCTTAGTGCTGGCGTAATATCACCCAAAGCCTCGTCCAAAAGCGTACACATCTCTCGCCCATCCTCCCATCACCAAACCAAAATCGTATATAGCGCCATACCGATTATAAGGCAACAGGAATATCTATTCGCTCCTTCAAATCACCCCCCCTGAAGCTTCTTCTCAGCCCAAAATCCCAATCTAGTGTTAGTGACATATCGATGAGCATCAATAGTAGTATGTAATTCGCCCAGATCCTTCGTGCCCTCAGTCAGGGGTGGTGCTATCTCTGCCAAAAAAAAAAAAAAAAAAAAAAAAAAAAAAAAAAAAAAAAAACCCGCTAGTGTACCGTAAGGCAAGCATGGAGGAGGGGAGTGTGTCGTCCTGGTCGCCGAACAGACGGGTTCTAACAGCAGCCTCTTCGACAGTCTGGGAGCCTTGGCATCTGGTTCAGCTCGTCTGAAGCCCGGTTGGAAGATGAAGAGACTGTCAACACTCCTTCCACCGGCCCAACAGGGCGTCCGCTATCCAGTCCACTCGGATAGATAGTCATTGCCAAGCGTCGTACTACCAGTTGAACTAGTGCTTGGAAGCTAGGCAGATCGTCTTTTCGGTAGTAGAGATTCTCTTCTCCCCACGCTCTCCTCTCAAATGCCATTGGACCTAGACATGGACCAAGCTCAACAAGGTCGTGCGATTCGATGCCTCGTAAAAGAAAGAAGAAGGTCGAGAAAGACACTTGGGCCATCCGGCGTGCCCTGCCATGCTGGAATCTTGGGCCTAGCCCAGTAGCAAGCCTGAGAAAGGACGAGCTGAATGAGTCCTTGGCTGCTCGTATCCTCACTTGTAGTAGTAGAGAGAGATATGAAAGATAGAGCCAACAGCAAATCCCGCGAGAGCAGGTTTTGACATGGGCATATTTCAGGTCGCTTCAGTTGGCCTCCCCATGGCAGTCAAGGCCCCTGGGCTGCCATGCCAGACCCTTGCTATCTCTCTCTCCCTCTCTCTTAAACCTTGTCAGTATTTCCACACCCTCCATGCGCTTTTCGGAAAAGACAAGCGATAGCAGATTGCTGAATAACCATTCACCCCGGCAGTTTATGCAGTTGACGGAGCACCACTCCCGATCCGGACTCCTGTGCGAAAGAGAAATGGAAAAAGAGGGATCCACTGACCAGAGAGTCTGGTCGTCTTCGCGACGCGCTAAAATCGACCGCTATACAAGTACGGCAACAAAATCTACAATCATTACGGATGAGAAAGACAAAACCCTTGCTAGATTTCCCCTCAGCCTCTCGTAGATCAATCTCTCCGGGTTACTACTAGACTACCTGTGCTCCTCCGAAACCCCAGTATATGAGATGGGAGATTGTAATTACAGAGATACGGGGTGGTGATAGGACAGGGAACGGTGCTTACTATGTACTAGCACTTACACCAAAAAAACCTCGTAGTTTTTGGCAAAATGAAATCAAATCAAGCAGCCAGAGATAGCCATGTCTGTTGACGCGGCCTTCGCCACAGCAAACAGTTGAAATTACCAAATAGCGTCAAGATATGCGGCAGCATACCTACTTGCACACGCGCTTGCAGCTTGCGCAGGTCGTCTCCATACATGGGAACCCGACCCAGCTCGCTTCGCCGTTTCATAGCATGTCGTCGCCTTGAGCATGTAAACCAGGCCCATTGTGCGACGTCACAAGTTTGACGATACGATACAATATTCTGGCAAGAAAAATGCGCCGCTCTTAGCGACTTCAACCTTGGGACCACAGAAGAAAGGAAAAATAAAGCCCACCACACCTGGTCTGCCGCCCAGCCAATAACGGCACTTGGTAGCGCCAAAACGTCCCCTTGCTCAACGAGGGTGGGAGGCAATTTCATGCACATCACCAGAAAGCAATTTATTGAATTCTGAGCGGAGTGGACATGGCAATCGAAAGGGTGTGAGGGCTATTGCTACCCTCCATCAGCGCGCACGGCTGCCAGTCCACACAATATGCAGGCCACATACGAGAAAAAAAAATCCGTTGGAGGCGACCGCCACAATATGTTTTTAATATCGAGCAGCATATCGACACAGACAAGCGAAGGCGAAAAGTGACGATTCATGATAAACCGTCGTCCTGAACTGGTGGGTCGGTTAGCACACACCGCGGGAGGCACGGCACGAAGGCCGCGGACCCTGAAAGTCCAGCCCACCTCAGACGTCTTCTGGTATGTGTCCAAAGCAAGTTCTTTGCCTGAGGGGAAAAATTCATCCAACAAACTTGCTTCATGCAGTAATAATGGTGTTGGTAAGACGGCTTTCCCACAGCAGTTCCCTAGTTCGTCACGCTTTAACAAAAGCGTCTATCGTGCCGAGGCGCGGTCGACGACGACGCTAGGCAGGTCTCTCTATTCTTCCATTTCACACAAAGGGCGCCTTCCTCTATTGGCTCCAGCTTCTTTTTTTTTCTTCCTCGGTTTGGCTTTGTCCCGAGCTATCGGTGTCCACTAGGCTCGACAATGTCTAAGCCATGTACTACCTATTAGAAGACGCAGAAGCCCACAAGGGCGGCGTAAAACATTCTGTAAGTGAGATGAGAACGTCGTGGACTCCGAGCTGAGAACCAATAAGCAACATAAAACGAGATAGTACGGGGGTGCAGCAGCCCTAAAAGCAAGGCTGGCGCGGAGGAATTGCGGCGAACCACGAAGTATGTAAGTGTAGTAGTAGTATTTGCTTCCAGCCGGGGGTTGATAGAAAGGATTGAACATCCCTCACCAGATCCAAAGAAGGCCACGCCCCTCAAAGCAGCAAGCCGTGCACAACTGCGAGAAGCGCCTCCATCATCAGTGACTGCAGTATGCACAGACTGTACACACTGAGCACCGACAGACGACTAGGGGCTGGAAGCCCACTGCTGCAGCACTGCCAATACTTTTCTGACTCCTAACAGAGCAGGACTAGCATATTGGCGCGAGTGAGAGAGAGGCTGGCGTGGCCTGGAATGCGGGGAAATATTGTGATATATCACAATCTCAGCTTTTTGTAGTTCAAACACCCCCAAAATCCTAGACTCGTTCTCCAAATTCGACGCCAAAAGGCGCGCAGAGCAGAGCTGAACCAACCTCAAGGGCGACCCGAGTTCTAGGCTTCTCAAGCCACGGCGACCATCCAAGACCCCCTCCCCTCTTTGTCTCTGATAGCTCAGGGAAGGAGGATGGTTTGACCCCAGCTCGTCTCCAAATAGGCTTACTCTACGAGAATTTTCAAGGCGCGACGGCGTTGCCTTGACACAAAGTGCGGAAGATAGTGCGGAAAACGAGCGCGCTCTCTTTTGGGTGAGACATCGCAGAGGACAGGGCCTCCTGTCCAGACCAATGATAGACGCCTTTTGGTCTGGGCATCCCCATCCTTTCTCCCTCTCCGTCGTTTTTTTTTTTTTTCACACTCTCTCCCTTGCGTCGCGACTGCCGGAGTGCCGAGCATGGGAAGGACGGAATACTAACAGTAATGGTGCTAGTTTGCAGCAGACCGTTGGGCTATCACATATCATACAGCCGTTGTGTATATGGAATGTTTTTTAATCAGCTCGAGACGCACTTATTGCTTCCTCGAACAGCGATACCCGACACGAATAAGGAGTCCCGACCCGTCCGCTGCGCCGTCGCAGCTCACCCGTGCACATATGATGCCATGGTGGATTTGCCATCATCTGCACGTGGCTTCGTTCATGTTTGCAAGGGAGGCACAAGAGCTGCGGGCTCAGATGGATCACTCGGTGGTGTGCAAGGGATCTTGCCATTTCCGGGCATGCCGCAACCCAACAGCCAGTAGCCATCTATTTTTCCTCCGAGACTGTGTTTCGCGAGCAGTGGCTTTATCAAGTGAATGATCCATACGCTCCGCTGAGCCTCCATGGGTGTAAATAGAGGCGCTCTGAGAAAACGAGGCCCAGAGTCGACTCGTGGGTACACTCTCTAATCCCAGCCACGACAGCTGACTTTGCTTGCTTCGTCTAGCTGCTCTGCAATGCTCCAGCGGGATGCAGCAGCTCTTCCCCAACCAGCCAACCAAGGAGGAGGCGGGGAGAGGGGCCAGAGAGCGCTCGAAGATTCACCACATGGCAATCTCGCCCTGCAGCTCAGCCAGCCAATGACATGCCGCCCACGATAGGAGGTCCTCTGAAAGAGGCCATGCAAGGCACGCGAACCACCATGATTCAGCGACAAGCAGCTACCCTCCCAATTTGACCCCGGACCAACGAGCTCTCTTAGACGCCCTCCCACCCAGCAAACAATATTCTGATATTTTAGCAGCGTGTTGAGAAAGATGCGTTTCCTAGCCCAGTAATTCTAACATGGTGATAAACTAGCGTCTCAAGCGATATTTCACAATGTATCTCGCACGGCACCACCAGTAATTAACCGGACCATGTTTGAGACGCCTTTCCATTCCTGTACTCTTTTCTTGGCCCTCTTCACGGTGGGCGTGAAAATGATATTATTAGCCAGTCTCCGTAATAGACCTTGCTCTCTTTTTGTCTCCAGAGCCGAGAATAGCAGCAATCTTAGACGAGTCGGGAGGACCCTGCAAAACGGCCTAGAGCCACCAAAGCGATCCGTTGCGCGCGCTGGCGGCACACAAAGCCGAAATTTGGAATTTGTATATTGATATCAGATTTGCCTTGTGCTTTCTCTTTCTGCGAGAGCCGCTATCGCTGCTCATGGGACGACACTAGACGGTTTTGATGCATGCTCCGTTCCAAAGGGCGATCTCGCTGCTACTGTGGAGTACTAAGAAACCTGGATGGCTCACAGCCCAAAAAAGAAAGAAAAGAAAAAAAAAAAAAAAAAAAAAAAAAAAAAAAAAAAAAAAAAAAAAAGTCCAAGGAGGAAAAAACGCATAAACAGAGAAGAACGGAAAAAAAAAAAAAAAAAAAAAAAAAAAAAAAAAAAAAAAAAAAAAAAAAAAAAAAAAAGGAAATCGCCGAGCTATCGTGACGATGTCGTCACTCCCAAGACATCGGCTACTATCATGCCGCAGGCCCGAGACAGCCCTAAATGCAAATAGCTCGCAAAACTTTTTTTTTTCTCTCGCTCTATTGAATCAGTAGCAGCCAGCCCCAAGAGCTATGATGAAATAGGAGGATGACGAAGCTCTCATCAAATGATCATGCTTAGTCAAAAACGTGCGACAGCAAAAGCGACTCATTTCAAACTGATGCAGCTCCATTTGGCTCCATACGGTTCTTGCTGACGTCTAAATTTCCTCATCTTTCGAGACGTCAGGTCGGTTTAGTATTGACTCAGGGGGACATCGTTGCCCTCAAAGGTGAGCCCACCAGTTGCAAGCGCGCAGCAGCGTTCAAAACGGAAGAGAGGGTGGGACCCTCCAATCTCTTGTGGATCTAAGAAGGAAGTCGAAGAAAGGGGGGCGTGAATACAAGTTTTGCTCACATAAAAAAGCGTTAGCGTTTATTCTCCTTAGCTTCCAAGATCAATGGCCAGCTAGAACTATCGTAGCTTAGCCCAGCATCCTTAAACCTGGAAGAGCGCAAGAGAAAGAGAAAAAGGATGGCCAGGGGGGTCGGGAAAGGCAGGGTTTCTGGTTCGTCGATCTCGTTTTGGTCCTAGCCCGGGACCTGACTCGGAGAAGCTGCATGAAACAAGAGGCGAGAGGGCGTCTTTCTGGGGATAGGCACTTGTATTTCTTGTGGTGTTCCTACAGTAGAGAATTCCACTTAGCCCAGGATGCGCTCTGAAAGGGAAAGGCGGAGGCGACAAATCCTACTCTATTTGACATTCTTTCTGAACTGGTGGCGATAGCGCCTCCTCAAATGGTGATGATTGTGGCGATGGTCATGCAGCCTCAAAGTGTAAAAGGCTTCTTATCTCTAAAAGCTGCAAAGTACCTGCGCGCACTTGCATTGATCAGGCGACTACTAACGGGCTCTCGGGGCGTGCCTCACCGTTAGTCGATGATCCATCTGATCGAGAGCCGGCTCGATGGTTGAGAGCGAATGGCGAGACTCGTCTCAAACACGATGCACTGGTTCAGTTCATTTACAAGTTGGTCAGTGCAACAGCTCTAATGTGGGCTTGGCGAACGGTCTCTGTTCGAGTCATTCGAGCCAATGCAAGGCACCATTTAGCGCTTAGACTCGATGCATCAGACAGAAATAAAGCGTTGTATGAGCAGTAGCAGCCCATAAATGCCTGTACTCGTACTTGTAGAATGAAGCCCAAAATCCATGTTCAGCGAGCGATAATTTCTTCTGATAAAGGGGGACAGGCTGCTGCATCATCCCGCAATAGTTTCTAGTTAGCCAGGCGGTTAGCCAAGAGAGAGTTCCGCGTATACATACTCGTATACTTTCCAGCCCGTAGCTATTTTGGGCGATCACCCGCCCATCTACGGCTAAGAATGGCTCCCTCACTAACTGTGACTCGAAGATAGCCTCAAGAGCCCATCCCTCTCGCACCATACCAGTAGCGGTACTAGTCCCCTTCCTTAGTCTTGTAAGGCAAAATAACACTCCCTCTCTCCACTGCTTTCAGGCGACACTGTTGGCCACGCCCTATTAGTGCTTGCAATTTCCATAACGGTTCAACTCAACTCCGAGTCAGGGAGATTCCTATCGTCATTTTGGCCGCCCACGTGCCCTTTCTGTCTTTTTCTTTTCTCTTCTCCGAAGCCCTGGTACGCTCTCGAAAGAACCACGCCCAGCTTGTATGAGACAATCAGACACTTCAATTTGAAGTCGTCATTAGAAGAGAAAAAAAAAAAAGTCCCTGCGTCCTGAGGCGCGTGGGTGGCAGCCGCACTCAAATCATTTCATCTCTTGTCTGTTGGCCAAATCAAAATTTGGGCGTGAGCACTGGGTAGGATGGCGTTTGACGCCGCCGGTGCTCTAGCGCATCCCATCTGCATCCCATCTCTCGTATGGTGCAGATCCAACTGCTCATTCGTCCAACGGCTTGCTGTTCTCCAAAATTACCAGTGAGATGGAACAAGAAAGTCTCCGCCGTCAGATCCCAACTCGGACGTTCAGTCAGCCATCGCGGCAAGGCGCATGGCCGTGACCGTCGTGCCGGGAACAAATATCATATCGTAACCAGCCCACTGGGAAGACAACACGAGGTGAAAAAAAAAACATGCCATCGCCCGTGCACTTTTTGGAATGACGTGCTCTCAGTGGATAAGACACATGAAAGCTGGTACCACATGTCGCCGTGTGTGGACATACAAGTAGATTGGCAAACTGGTATGGAGAAGAACTGGTCCACTACCTTACTCTCACGGCAGTGGTGAATCTGACGAGCCAGTCATGGCCAACCAGGGCTGAAACAGTTCCTACGCCCGTTTCGAATGCCCCTGGTTAGGTGGTTAGGGCTGTGATTCAACTACCTACTACCACTAGTAGTAGATTCAGATGAGTCGTAGGAGTATTGCGAGCGTGGAAATTTTCAAAAGACCTCAGATCCGGCCTGTGTTCTGTATAGAGAATGACGCTCCGTATCTTCCGATGACATTCCCATTTTGTAAAAATAGTAATGACGATGCCAAGCTTTGCTATTTGGGCAATGGCCCATAAGATGAATAATAGCGATGCTCTAGTATACGGCTCTGCCCCAGGGCCTCGCCCGCCAGTCTCGTTTTTGCGCCCGCTAATGAGAGGGAAAAGAGCTCCCGAGTCGGCATGTTCCAGTGACCGAGTCCGCCTAACGCTCATTTGATGCATACGACATCAAGCAGCAAGGGACGATGATGGGCGGCCCCAGTAGTACATCGGCTGCTCCCACAAATGCTGTCATGTTTTACTCGGGTCGATGTCCTGGATGCACTAGGCCCTGCGGGATAGGGAGGTGGTTCAAGGGGCTATTCCCGTACATATCCAGGCGGTGCTGTAAGCCTGTTGTGATTGTTAGATATGAAATTTGGAGAATTGGGGTCATGAATACCTCGGACCCGCCATGCAAATGGAACTGGGTAGGTATTATGCTTAGAAAACTTGATCTCAAAAATTTTTCACCTCTTCTCATGAAAGCTAGTCAGGGTGATTTGTTGCACAGACAACCTGTTTATTTTAATTTCCTCTTGGGAGGGTTGGTTGGGTAATCTTCTTGCCCATTACAGGGTAAGGCACTGTTACATGTCGAATACGACGAGATTGCATCATTCGTTCGCTGGGTAAGGACCCTTCACTGGCGATACATTTCCTATTCTGGGGCCAAGTGCGCGTGCTGCAAACGACTTCTGCTGCAGGTGATGATGCACAATGGCATGATCCAAGGGACCTGTGCTGTGTGTGTGTAGCGTAGCTGCGAACAGGATGCTAATAATCCGGTTGAGGGTCCAAGTGATATCATCTGCGGCGTGAATTATCGTGGGGTAGGATGTCTCCTGGCAAAAGATGGGGTTCCCCACTAGTCTGGCAGCAACCAGACTCTCGCATCGCTTCTGGCGACAATGGCTCTGCCCGCCTCAGGACAGCCATAGGGTCCATTCAATGGATCGCCTCTAGGCGGCCGGATGATGAATCTTAAACATACCATCCGGCTACGCTTGGTTGTTTGGATAGTGAGTAGGGTGCATGCATCTTTACACGCCGGGGATCCTTTTAGCCAACTGCCCCCCCTCTTATCGCCTTTACTTTAGCTCACCACTCCCTTTTTTCCCATCTTTTTTTTTATTGATACCCGCGACAGCCTGGCGGACGACCCCTCACGAAGCATTTCTGAGAGCTGGTGGTTGTCTCGCAACAGGAAGCCATCGTCGTTATTGGATGCAAAAGATTCGGGGTCGTAATGCTCCCGTGTAAGGCAGCCAGCCACCTACCTCACACCAGTATCTGCGAGGTCCCTTGGTGTAGTATGTAGATCGTCTCACATCAATATGGCGGCCTGCTATCAGACGTAAAGTGCTAAGCGTGCATGGCGACGCTGTAAAAGCATGAGTATTATGGAGCAGTACCTCCTTGTATACTTATTGCCCCGTACACTTGGAGCCTGGCCCCAAGTCAGTTCGCGCGGGCCACGGAATGCGACTGCGTCCTGCAAGTTCTCTGCACTCTGCTCCAGAAGGCTCCATTATCTTTCAAGCCAATGTCAAGGGGCCACTTCCCCAAGAAAAAAAACACAAAATCCCCTAATTGCAAAGCCGTACATGGAAAGCTAGTCTCCGCAGCCGGCAGAAATCTCCCCACAGCAGCCCCGGGGAACCTGCCACGGCATACCAAATAATGCACGCAGTTGCTTTCGCTTGGAAGAGGGTACCTTACTTGCAAGCGAGGGGTCCTCTTGGCCTGGTCCTTTGATCCACCTGCCACGTAAATTCCCAGGGGTTCGTTCGTTGTCGGATAGGTAGCTACTGAGTAGAAGCAGAAAGGAAGCCATGTGTTCACCGATGACTTGTCCGCTGGCGATATACTGCACTAATTGATTCGGCTAGGAAAGCATCGTATTGCTCCTATTAGCAATACAAGGACTAGCACCGATCTGGGTGATCCGGAGATGCCCTGACAATTTCCCTTCACGGCTGCCGACGACTCGGAAGATGCGGCGAGCGAGTTTGATTTGATGATCATCAACAGGACTTGTTTGTATACAGCAAGGCGAAGTATGCGGTCCCGCTGCATGTATACCTGCACTAACCTCGAGCTTGCGACGAGCAATTTTGGAGTAGTATTAGGTAGCGCATGCTACGGAGCGCGTATCTGGAGTTGCGTCCTCTGCGGGCCATGCAGACGAAATTCTCGGGCTAAAGCAGATGCCTTGGGCTATGGCCGGATAGATAGTCATTCATCTTGTCAGGTGATGGGGAGAGGGATGGACCCCTTAGAGCCCTTCTCCAACTCTCGCCAAGCAGCTTGGTGCATCTTGTTCCATATTGTGTAGCAGTAACGGAAACACTGAGGAGGCAAATAATGACGGACCATGAGTTCGAAATCTGCCTGGGTGGTGGTAGTGGTGGTGGGCAGAGTAATGATGGTGATGTTAGCTGCCAGCGGCTAATCATGGTCCCCTGTCGAAGTAGTAGCGGCCACCATGCACCAATCCGGTGCAGGCTCCAAGCCCCCCCCAGATGCAAGTGAAATCAGAAATGGCATAGTCGCGCCCAGTCCCCACACTGTCCCTTGATAGCAACCCAGGCTGGACCACATGGCCATGCTCCTCAACAGGCCTTTGCAAGCGATTGTGTCGACGCAGCCAACTGCTAGCACAAAACGCTACCAGTAGCATTAATATCGGAGCCGGGAAACATTGGGGGGAAACCGCTGGCGTCCTCCATCCTTGGAGAAAGGAGCGGCCAAGCCCTCACTAGTGTTGATAGAGTCGCCCTATCGAGGCAGATCTGAGAGGGTGATCACCGTACTGCCGCCTCGTTATGGCTGACGATGGCCAATAGGCATCATGATCCAAGTGCGCCTCCTCAGGTAGATGTCGGTTAGGCGCACGAAGTAGTCTGGGCGCCGTACATACTGCATCAACAAGGGGGGGAAGAGAAAAGTTGACTGTGTCCATGTTCCCAACTGAGTCCTACGCCGCCAACCTCGAAGATGGTGGTTTTCATCCGCGGCCTCTTTTTCCAGCCTCTCTGCCTGTTCGAGGCACGGCGGCTGCTGTGACAAAGGACAGCTCCGGAGGAGGGTGCCTTGAAAGCATCCGCGTGAGCCGTTGGAGCGGCCATGTCCGAGGAATGAAGGGCAGCAACACGAAGCCAAGCTGCGCAGTATCTAGCAGCAGTAGGTGTGAGGTAGCAATAGCAGCTAGTAGTTTGATAGCACCAGTATCGTGCACTATGACTAGCGAATGCTACCCACTCAGCCGCTGGCCGTTGCGGTATGGAGCAGATAGACATTGGTAATATCCGGAGCATCCCAGACGTTACCCGTTCAAGTGCTGTGGTACGTATGAGTACAACAGATGCCGTGCGACGATCTGAGAGCTGGTAGTCCATACATACTTCGTAATAGAATCAGCACCTAATACGATGTGGCTTTTTTTCTCCTTCGTTCTGTTTATTTCATGATCCTGGCGCCATTCCGTCCTGCGCCAAACTTGGCACCATTCCGCATACTGTAGCTTGTGCAGCTCGCCAGCCAAAATGGCGCTGTCAACGAGGCACCGTCGTGCCATGCTAACAAGACACTATCACCTCCATCGTCCTGATTATTCCGCATCGCACATGTGTGTGCGATCACCCGTTGTGGTGTCACCCGCTGCGTCTTTTTGCTGGACAAGACGAGGGGCCATCACCACAAAGTCCACATGACGGCGGTTTTGGAGCTCTCAGAAGATGCGAAATACGACAGCAGAGCGACTTTTCGATGGTGGATCTGCTCTGATCAGCTCCCGGTACTGCCTCTAGTGGAATGCGCTGTTGCGTACAATTAGCAGGTGAGGCATGTAGCATGCAGTATATCACCAAATCACGTCCACCGGCATTTCGATGATACTCGTGTACAACCTCAATATTCTGCACATAGGAGTTTAGTCAAAGGGGGGATGATCGCTGGAGCACCAGAATGCGGGCAACTAACCGAACATAGCCTAGCTTCCCCGTCAATGCCCCGCTAGGCCTGTTGCGTAATCCAGCATCAAGACCCGCTTTATCTCACTCCCACCACTGTTGTCATTTTCTGGCCTAAGGCACCGAGCAGGTTGCGTTCGAATCTCATTTCCCCCATAGAACATTCCAGGGGTCGAAGACAGATCGTCTTGGACTGCAGGCCTTGCCCTCAGCTTGCCACAGAAAATGTTGGCAAGCTGGCCGTTGAGGGCGTCTTTGGGCGAAAAGGGGAATTGGATTGGGAGCAGAATTGGGGGAGGGGGTTCGGTCTCGGAAGACGCCCTGCACGAAGGGCTCTGGAAAGCATCGGCTGGCTGATCATCGCTGCACTGGCACTTTCGTCTGATGATCCCTTACTTGAGGTGCCTGCCATGTGTCCCAAGCCAATTGATGAAGAAAATCTGCGTTCCATGGAATTTCCACAAGTTTCTTCTAGTAGCCAATGTAAAAAATTTCTTTTTTTTTTTCTTTTTTCTTTTTTTCCCCCTCTTACACGCTTATATGCCTGTCCACGCCCATCACAGAAATACAATTTAATCGCCTTATTGGCATTTTAGCGTTGTTGCACAACCGCAGTGACATGCATGCAATTGAGTTTGTTGACGACTCAGGCTGCGTCGCACAGCGTCTGTAGCCCCTTCTGTTTCCAGCGCTGTGCAGAAAGCCAGAAGGGCCTGGGTACAGTTTACAGCGAGCTACAGAGGGGTCGGCCGTGGCACAGAAGGAGGGGCAGGCTGGAGATGGGCTCATTGGCCCCTCTACCGCTCCCCCGTAGTGAACGTAATGGCCCATCTGTGCTCACGCTTCATACAGCGACTGTCCCGGTGACACAGATGGCACCCCTGGGGCATTGAGCTTCCGTCACCATACTTGGTAGAGATTGGCCTCCATGCAACACGATAATCCGTGCAGTCGAAAAATTTTCAATCTTGCTCGTTTCTGCTCCCGTCGTCCATCCCATGCCTGCCCAAGGGGCGAAAAACAGCCCACCATTTTGGCGTCAGTTGAGGGCCAATCTGCCCACAGGCGAGCGCCCCGACTCCGGCTGGCCCTTGAGTCACCTTGCCCAGGCACGGCATCGCATCATGGTCGGATGTTGTGGCGCGTAGCAGGCTGGAGCTAGCGAAACAGCGCCAAGAGAAAGCAGAAAGCCCAGCAGAAAAAAAAAAAATTGATCACCTCAGGGAAATCAAACTCTGGGGGACCCTCCCGCAATGCCCTAAGCGTCTGGCGCAATTTAGGCCTGCCGCTACGACTTCTTGCTACGGCTGTCGCAACTGGGCCGTGGAATGATTTGATTTTAATTAGAGCTGCGACGCCGTCTCCAGAGGGCGCCCAGACTTGCCCAGGCTGTCAACGGACCTGCCCGGCCGCCTAATGCGAAGCTGCGAAAACCTTGTGCTGGCTAGCAGGCAGCATAAAAATTTTCTGCTGGAGCACAAGCCAGGTAGGCAGGACAAGGACAAGACGAGACAAGCCACACCCAGGCGGTGCGCGAGGACAGAAAAAAAAAAAATCAGCCACCACCATCTCGCATGGCATGTCCTCGCCCGTCGACACACACCCCGTCGAGCATAATATTGCTGGGTATCACGCATTTCGTCTTCATATCTGCTGCAGGGCATGGGCGGCGGGGCTCCAGGAGAGGAGATGGTCAAGCCCAAGACAGGACAAGGCACTCACCACACACCCCAAGGCAGGGCCCCGCCTGCTTGTGCTCGAGTGCTGAGCGTTTCGCACACTCCCCTTTCAATCTCTGGGCTCCACCGGTACAGGGCGATGTACCCTTCTGCGCTAGGCTGGATGCGACGCTGCGGTGCGGGCTCCTGAGCTGGTGCTTCGTACGAGAAGCAGATGATGCACAAAGAACGACCTAGTACTAATGCCTACGTAGGAGATACGTAAGTAAAGTAGGTACCCTCCCTCCGCAAGCCGTGGCCAGGCAGGTACAGCGGGCCCTGCAGGGCTAGTCCGTGAAGCAGCACAGTAGCAGAGTGTGCAAGTATGATACTGCAGTAGCTGTATTTGCATTCTGTTTGTATCAAGTAAATTTATTTGCACCTCGTCTTTCTCTGGTCCCCGTCGTCAGCTGCGTAGGGGTGCGTGCAGACATGCCAATCGTGGCAGTAATAATTCAATCTCTTACCTTATGCTGCAAGAGGCATTCACCCAGCTCCTTCTCTCTTTATCTGCCCTCTCTTTCAGCTTTTTGGGGCTGGTGGGGCCTCTGCAGTGCGCTTGCCGCTACTGTCCTGCGGTTGCTAGCACCACGCCCACTCCAAAACCTCGTCCCATGTACCTCTTTCCCCACCAACTGACCACTGACCACTGCCCACTTTCCACCGCCCTCTCAGCCATGTCCACACCACTGGCTGCCCACGCCCACACCACATGGTACGAGGGTACTTGCGCCCATCTGAGTGAGTCGTCCATCCCCAGAAAGTACATATGCATCCGTTGCCCTCCTCGCTTCATCAGATTCTCTCCACTGCTCCTTGTGAACCTCAACTTCTCTTCTTCGACCTTTGCTCTCTCCTTAAAGACATCGCAAAGGCTTTCGACTACCTACTTGTTATAATAACTTGAACTCTTCATCCACTCTGCTACTCAACACCATCTCGACTCACACATACAACTGTGACTCTTCCCCCACCACCACCACTACTCTTTTCTTCTATACCAACAACCATCACAATGGCCCTCGACATGTGGACCCACGAATTCTGCCTCTCCTGCGACCGACAAGTCCAGATCGACGGCGAGGCCTACTGCTCTGAAGCCTGCAAGATGGCCGACTTCGAAAAGACTCCCTCTACACCCAGCTCGCGAGCCAGCTCTCCTGGTTTCTCTCCCGTCTCTTCTCTGTCCAGCCGACCTGCTCCCGCCAAGTTCTACCTGTCGCCTGCCTACGACTTCAACCAGGCACGACGCTACGGCTCAACACCCCAGGCATCCTCCTCCTTCGGCAGCTACAGCTCGGAGACGTCGCCTCTGTCCGCACGAAGCCTCACTCCCTCGAGCTCACACAGCAGCCTCTGCTCTATGCAGAGCGTATCATCTACTGCCGAAGCCAGCCAACTGTCAGACAAGGCACGCATGGAACTGCGAGCATACGCTGTTTCATTCGAGCAGGTCAGACTGCAACGCAGGCGATCATACTAAATACCTAACAACACTCACACACATATACCCAAACACAAAACACTCACCACCACTCGGCCATGTGCCACACACACCAATCCACCATCACGCAACTCAATCATATATAAACACAACATGAAATGACACGAAACCAACCTTGCTATTACTATATTGCTCTTCTTGTTTAACAAACACTTTTTTATTTTCTTGGGTTGTTTCCTTCAGCTGTATCAAGACGGACATTACATGGAGCACCGCATACCCCAAAAAGCACTTTTTTTTGGCCTCTTTGTTTATTTAATCGAGCGCACTGTCTTCTCTACATTTACTTCTTTTATCTTTTCTTTTGTTTACGGAGTTTGATCACGGATTGATTTTGGATTATCAATGGGATCCCATCACGGGCATCTGTATACCACAATACACCACAAAGATTGGGCGGAAGACTTGATATCACACTTGTTTATTGATAGCATGGCACAAAGGGAAACACATTTGGGTGCTGGCGGGAAACACATTACGATATTTGGGACATGATCAGCGGCGCAGACCAAGATTTCAGGATCATATCAAGAATGATGGCGCAGATAAAGGCAGTCGGCGCGCTGCAAAGCCGCCCAGTCTATGGGTTTTACTTGTTTTGGAAAAAAAAGAAGTCCAAGAGGAGGGGAAGGAAAAAGGGACTGAATGGCTGTAAACGAGGCCAGTGATGGGGGATGGGTTTAGGAATTGGATAGCTCTAGCTGAGAACATGCTTTGCATCATCAATGAATAGAACAACCCTGTCTAAGACTTGGTCAAAACACTACTATTTCCTGTCTCGTCCGTGATAGTGATACAATTGACGCCATGGGCTGGGTAATCTGGCACAGGGCAGGGCCATGGCGCTTTTGCCGGTGGCGAAAGTCGATGGTGAGCAGTCAGACTGCGACATCGGATAGACTTTGCGGTATGAGTGAGCGAGAGCATGAAAGTGTGTACGCATGGACACTAGGATGACGGCCAATGGGGCCCAATGCGCTGTGTTCGGCCCAAATCACGACATGGACGCGGCCCATAGCCGAATTTCTGCTCTGTAGGCCATGTTTTGCCTTGCTCTTGCCTAACGGTATAACTCTAGTTCTGTGACTACTACATGGCATATCAAGCGTGAAGCAAAGTGGATAGGCCGTAGTGCCATGCTGTGTTACCCAAAAAAAGGGTACGGTGGCTGGTGGTACTGTAGCATCCAAGTCGCTTTCCTGCACAATCCTTGATGCAAGGTACTAAGTGGAACTTTTACACAGCAGCATCATCATCATCATCATCATCATCATCATAGGTGCTACCTAGCCAAGTCCAAAAAAGGCCACCTGAAAAAGCAGCCCAATGTCTGTGCCATTGGCCTCGATTTCCGATCTCTTCTCGATTGCGTCCCAAATCCACGATGGCCGCGACTGTGAAGGGAGAGAGCCCGCTGTGGCCTTTGTATGGATCGGCGCAGAGGAAAAAAAAGAGGATACGGGCCCCATTGCCTACGGTAGCCGTGCCTGACCGGCGGGGAGTAGTTGGGGCGGGTGTATCTTGATGCATTTTACGGCGGGGGAGGCACTTGCTTGACTCGAAATCCATTTTGGTTAAATTGTATAGGTATTTTGCTGTTTGTACGTATGTACTTATGTACATGGTGGTGATTCATCTTGCTCTTGTTAGGGACAGTAGATGCACTGGGAGTGAGCTGGTTTGTGCCATGTCCGGAAGAGGGTGTTAGTGTTAGTGCTCTCTCTCTCTGCCTGTGCCTGCTTTTGTGTTTTTTTTGGTGTGTGTGCTCGTGCGTAGAGAGTGGCAAAAGAGCAGTAAGTAAATTACAACCATCCTTGAAGGAATAGCCTGCAGAAATCCTGAATTTAAATTTTTCTAAATATAATAATCAATTTTTTTTTTTCAACTATTCATGTTACTGTACTACTTCTTTCTCCTTCTAGCGTTTGCTCTAGCTCAATTGACCTGCGCTGTCATTGCATCAGTTAGTCAAGTTAATCTCCCGCGTGTCCCTCGTTCAATTGCTCCTCGGCCGTGTACATATGTACAACAAGGACGGGTCGGTGATAAGATCAGATTCTTCATTAGACTTGGTTCATACTCTTCTTCTTCTTCTTCTTCTTCTTCTTTTCTGTCTCAAATGAAAGTGGGACGGGCGAACAACCGGACGTAGCCGATGCAGCAAGGCAGGCAAGGCAAAATGGGGGGAGGGGAACAGTCAGCTGTTTCAGACGCCCTTTTTTCTTGCCTTCTTCTCGTACTCGTACATGCGTGTTCTGGATAATAATACTACCACCAAGAGGTACAGTACTACGACTGCTGCTAATAATATAGTAATAATAATAAAACCAAACCCAGCCAGTTCATTTGATCTGGACCCTGGCCGCGCGAGTGGTCTGTGTGTGCCCCTGTTGCAGCTGCGGTGGTAATGCAAAGAGCCCTTCAACGGAGTGGCTTTTTGGGACTGGATCAGTAGACACTTTGTGCAGAAGCAAGAATCAGGCAGCCTATCAGATCTTGCACGGCAGCAAACAGCAACAGATGCCTGGGGGGACCGACTCTGGCTGCCCAAAGAGGAGCCGAGCGAGGGGGGTGGATGCCAATGCGCTGTTGCATCCAATGTCAAGCGTATCTGCCGTAGCATCGTAAGAGCCACAGCGTAGCATTGCCGGCGACATGGTTTTGTCGAGACGGCACGGGCGTTATGAAGGAGTCCTCCCGGCTGTATCAGCGTCCCGGTAGGCTACATGCTAATACGTAGTAAGCATGTCTCAGTTTGTTGAAAAACTCAACGTTGCAAGCATAGAGAAAATAGTACTGTGCGAATGAACAATCCCTCTGCTTGTACGTAATGCAATTATACGGTAACATGCATCGCATCAGCATCAAAACTTTAAAATCAATACGATGAAAATTTTTTCCCATCCTTATGCAAGACATTGGGAAAAGCAAAGAAAAATAGCAGGCTGCCAACTCATCGGCATCGGCGCATATCGGCCCCACGAGGAAAAGATACTACTACCATTGCCTAGGAGAAAGAAAGAAAAAAAAAAAAACCCTGGACAGTCTTTTTTTGTCTCTCTTCGTGTCTCCATCACCACCGTCCGGAAGCGTCTTCCTGCTGCTGGCCCGGCCAGCGGCTGGCCGGAAAGTGGATACTGGCCACTATGGGGAGCCCGGAATGGAGATCCAAAGATTTGCCAGCATTGTGATGCGACTGGGAGGGTGTTTTTTCCTCAGGGATATTTCTTTCAAAGGGGGGCTTTATCTCCTTGTCCATCTCCTCATCTCCCTATTTCTTTCTGATCCAAGTACGATTCATTCATTGGCGGCCTTGTATGATCATTGCACTATTAGCATGTGGGTATAGTTGCTGCATAGAAGTATAGGTAGTTGCAATGACATCGTCGATTGGCACTTGTGCTTCACCAATACTGGGCACTGCCGGCACTACAAAGCCCGAGGACCAACTTGACCCTCAAAACACCACACGTGCCTCGTCTCCTGTCCTTTGAATGGCACAACCATCACCTCATCGACCGCACTACCAGCCGCAGCTGAGCTATGCGGAATGTGGGTTGCCAATGGACTGTTTCCTCCTAACTTTTGTGTTTAGCAGCTATTAGCGGATGGCGTTTAGGGGAGTAGTGTTATAGTCTAATAGTCTAATACTGCACCAAGCCCAAAGCTGGAGAAAGCTCTCCCCGACGCTAACATGGGGAAAGATTTTTTTTTTTTTTTTTTTCACCCTTTTGCTTGGCTCCCCTAGCTGGGCTGAGCTGGGCTGACAAGCGGATCGGCAGAATCTCGATCTGGGCTGACTGCTTGAGTGAGATTTCCGTCCATGAGTTGTTAACAAGTTTGCGACATGATGTGAGACAAGTGCGTGCATGGCCGCATCACTGAAAATTTTTTCTTCTTGCTTCTGTCTTCTTCCAATGGCAGTTGCGTATTCGGTGGAGAGATGGAACGAAAGTAAACAAGCGAGAAAATCGTGTCCTGACCCATCCAGAGTCCTCAATTGCTATCCATGACTCTCTCCCTTTTTACTCCTTTGTCTCTTTCTTTTCAACCCACGTGTACCGCATTGAATTTCCATAACGACAAAAACACTCCCCAAATTGTGGTGCTGCGGCTCGTTGCATCAGCCATAATCCACTTTTCGCATATTCGCCCCTTGCACCAGGTAAAAAGACTGTGGATGCTATTATGGGCTCCTTTGTCGTATGATGTGGCAAATTTGTGGTTCCATGATGTGTTTCCCTCCCCGCCATGGCCGTGACTAATAATCGCATTTCCCTCTTTGTCGTGCTATTCTTCAAACGTCGATGCACACACCGGCAGAGGACAATCTCGCATCCGTGTTGGAAATCTGGCGTTGTGTTATTTCGCCTTCTCTCCGGTGCCTTGTATTCGGGATCAGCTAACTGCCCAAGCCATCGAGCTCAAGCCAACGCCCAACAGCCCTCTTATTCATACGCCCCTTAAACCAGATTGTAATACTCCGCAGATGGCGCTCATATTACTCCGTCGTTGCTAATATCACCTGCTGCTACTACTACTGCTTCCTATGTACCAATGGCAATTGAGGCTGTCGCTAAGAATGTTAGTCGACGCCATCAATATCTCTGATAGCAAATCACGTCGGGAAAAAAACTTTCCTTGGCGCGGGCTCTGCCGCCCTCTGGGGTTCGGTTGTCGCTGGTCTAAACAAAAAAAAAAAAAAAAGCAGCGAATCGAGATTCAAAGCTGTTGCGCGTGGCAAACCTCGAATGCGTTTACTGCAATAGAGAAAGACCATCGGCTATCGTCCCGTTGCCACCGCCTAACTGGCCCTAAGAAGACGTCCTATATCGCAGAGGATGACATGAATATTATGTAAAATATAAGCACAAAACAGAAGGATGGGAGATTCTTCATTGCCGCGTCCGCGTCAATTGCCTTCCGGCTCTTCTCTGTCTTCCCGTGATGTCCCGTCTCTTGTAACACGGCATCAGTCGACATAAGAAATCAATTACATGTAGACATGCGCCTCTCTTCCGTACCTGGTTACCTTTTTTTTCCTAAGGACCAGCCCTACTCGGCACTCGCAACAACAAACTTTGCTCTAAAATTTTCTCCGTCCTCTCTATTTTCTTCCTTCCCGCCTTCCATCTGCCGCCGATCCCTGAGAATCTTACGATCGGTGGTGTGAGCCGGGCGCGACCGGCTCTTCCGAGTAGGCGCTCTTCCGATTCGTTGTCTTCTCTCAGGCCCCTGGC